GGGGGGCTCTGAGGCACATCCCGAGCGCATTGAACATCGGGGGGAACAGGGGCTATGTTGTGCATGCGGGACAGCCAAAACTGTGTAGGAGGTGTGGGGGAGGGGGGCACCTGGCGGGAGCATGCGAGGCACGCATTTGTTACAGGTGCAGGGCGCTGGACCACACGGTGGAGGAATGCGGGGAGCCGGCCCGTTGCAACCTTTGCGGCAGCAGAGGGCATTTGTAAAGGACCTGCCCAGAATCTTATGCTAACAGGGTGCGGGCATACCGGAATGGACAAGCAGGGGAGGTGGCGGAGGAGGCGGCCGGACGGGAATCGGTCCGGGAGCTTGGTGGGGAAGAGGAAGGAGAGGCGGAGGGACCACGACCCTCCGGGGAGGGTGAGGGGGGAGGACCTGTGGGGAGGGAAACAATACCACCACTGGAGGGGGAGGGGGGGGGGAGGAGGGGAGGGGAAACGGGGAAAAAGACTCGGGAACCCCAGTGGGGGACTGGGCGGAGGTAATGGGCGAGGAGGGCGAGGAGGAGCAGCCGGTGGAGGAAGGAGCGGACGGAGCATGGGAGGAAACGGTTGGGAGGAAGAGGAAACTGGACAGAGGCCTGAAAGCGGCTGGCCCCCAGCACGACACGGGCCCTTCAGGCTCCTCGCTGGACACGGAGGAGTCTGGATGGAGGAGGGCGGAAGGGGGGGGGGACGTTTGAACCGGGGGAAGCCCCGGAGGTTGAAGGGGAGGAAGAAAGTGAGAGAGAAGGCGGACAAGGGCGGATGGGGGGAGCGCGCAGCGGAATGGGAAACAGACTAAAGCACACTTCGGCATGGACATTTCCGTGGCGTCTATAAACGTGAGAGGGATGAAGGGGAAGGAAAGGAGATGGGCAATCATGCACTTGTTGGAGACCACCAGAAGAGATGTGATCTTCCTCCAAGAATGCCACCTACCATATACCCTGGGTTCGGAGGCCCTGCTGGAAGATTGGAACGGCCACTACGTTTGGTCGGGTAGCAATGGGAACCGATGTACCGGCGTGGTTAACCTCCTAGGCAAGGAGGGAAATGAGGGTGGAAGGGACCCAGGAAGTGATACCGGGCCGGCTCCTCTGTGTGGATGTATCCTACCAAGGCGTGGAGTTTCGACTGGTAAACGTGTACGCCCCGGTACGGTGCATGGAAAGGACAGAGGTTGTGGGAGAGCTTGGCGGACCTATTGACCACCAGCAAACAAGCCATCGTGGGGGGTGATTTCAACTGCCCGATATACTTGGCGGACCTGGTGTCGGTAAAGGGGAGGAGGAAATTAGACTCTTCCTCCAGAAAACTGAAAGAGTTGATGGAGGACCTTGGTATGGTAGATGCATTCAGGAAGGTGTAAGGTGCACGACCCGAGTATACGTGGTCAGATAAGAGTGGGGGAACACAGTCACGGATTGACTTTATTTTCGTCTCTGCCAAAGTGGAAGTGGGAAGTGCGGGGGTTGAGCCATTTCCCCTCTCTGACCACAAAATGGTCGTGGCGGGGCTCACGATCCCAGGTGGGGCGAGGAGGGGGAAGGGAGTATGGAAAATGAATGTGGGCCTGTTGGAGGACCAGAAAGTGGTGGGGGACTTCGTACAAAAGCTGGAGGACATTGCAAGATTGTTTCCCCACGAGGGTGGAATGGTGGGGCCAGATAAAGGACAGGATAAAAACGTTCTTCCAGCATCATAGTAGGAGGGAGTGGGTAGGGAATTGAGGCAGTGGAATGCTAGGCTAGAGAAAATGTACAGGCTGCTAGAGCTAGGGTTCCCGATGGGGGAAAGGATAGGGGAGTTGAAAGGGAGAGTAGCTTCAGTTTTGGAAAGAAGGGCTAGGCAATTAGTGTACAGGGCGAGGGTCAGGGCAACAGAGGAAGGGAAAGGTGCACAAGGTTTTTCTTTAAAGCAGGTAGGGAGGGAGGTAATGCAATGAGGGAATTGGTAAGTCCTACCTGGGGTAGACAGACGACGACGGTAGGGATGATGAGTGTAGCGGAGGATTTCTATAGGGAGTTGTATGAGAGAAAAGGGATAGATGGGGGGAAGCGGGAGGAACTGCTGGGGGCATTGGGGAAGAGGGTTGGGAACCCGGAGGCGCTAGAGGGAAAGATTCGGCAGGGAGAAGTGGAAGAGGCGGTAAAAGGATTGAATAGAAACAGAACCCCTGGCCCGGACGCAGCTGCTGTCGGATCTAGAAACAAAGGTTGTGACTGTCTTCTTGTAAAATGAAGCACTGCATGACCAGGACGTGGAGGTGTGGTTGAGACAGCATTGCGTGCTATTATCCAACTGCAAGAGGGTGCAAGACTCTGTGGGGATATGGACCGGGGCCAGGCAATGGAGGGTGCGCCTGAAGACGGAGGGGGGGGGGGGTTCTGAAACATATCCCGAGCGCCTTAAACATTGGGGGGAACAGGGGGTACGTGGTTTACGCGGGCCGGCCTAAACTGTGTAGGAGGTGTGGGGGAAGGGGGCATCTGGCGGCAGCATGCGAGGCAAGAATCTGCTACAGGTGCAAGGCGCCGGATCACACGGTGGTGGAGTGCAAAGAGCCGGTCCAATGCAACCTCTGCGGTAGCAGAGGGCACCTGTATAGGAACTGCCCGGAATCGTATGCCAACAGGGTGCGGGCGTTCCCGGGGTGGACGGGAGGGGGAGGCGGTGGAGGAGGCGACCGGACGGGGATCGGACCGGGAGCTTGTGGGGGAGGAGGAAGGAGAGGCGGCAGAACCACGACCCCCCGGGGGGGGGAGAGGGAGGGAGACCTGCGGGGGGGGGGAAGCAACGACATCACCGGACCGGGAGGAGGGGGAGCAGGGGGAGGAGGGGAGGGAAGACGAGGGAGATGCCACAGGAATCCCCGTGGTGGACTTTGAATTTATGAATAAAGTATATAAGTTCAAATTGCATTGGTACATTAATTCCCATGCTTGGGAAAGGCAGTAAAACAACAACAAAAACAGTCCTAGACCAACCAACACAACACAAAGGCCCATACCACACCAAAACAACACACAGTCCCAGATAACACCAAAACAACACACAGTAGTCCCTCCATAAATTGTACATTTAATTCAAACTATCAATGACATTGTTAAGAATAATTTGTGGTCAGGTCGCTTTTGAAAAATGAGCTACATAGCTCAGTGGGCTTAGTTTGAGTTTAGTCTATGCGTCTCTGTGTTGTGTGTCTATGGGTCTGTGTTGTGTGTCTATGGGTCTTTGTGTGGTGAGTCTATGCGTCTCTGTGTTGTCTATGGGTCTTTGTGTGGTGAGTCTATGCGTCTCTGTGTTGTGTCTATGCGTCCCTGTGTTGTGTGTCTATGCGTCTGTTTTGTGTCTATGGGTCTCTGTGTTGTGTGTCTATGCGTCTGTGTTGTGTCTATGGGTCTCTGTGTTGTGTGTCTATGCGTCTGTTGTGTCTATGCGTCTGTGTTGTGTGTCTATGCGTCTGTGTTGTGTTTATGGGTCTCTGTGTTGTGTGTCTATGCGTCTCTGTGTTGTCTATGGGTATCTGTGTTGTGTATATGGGTCTTTGTGTGGTGAGTCTATGCGTCTCCGTGTTGTGTGTCTATGCGTCTCCGTGTTGTGTCTATGCGTCTCTTTGTTGTGTCTGTGTTGTGTCTATGCGTCTTTGTATGGGGAGTCTATGCGTCTCTGTGTTGTGTGTCTGTGTTGTGTGTCTATGGGTCTCTGTGTTGTGTGTCTATGGGTCTCTGTGTTGTGTCTATGGGTCTGTGTTGTCTATGGGTCTTTGTGTGGTGAGTCTATGTGTCTCTGTGTTGTGTGTCTATGCGTCTGTGTTGTGTCTATGGGTCTCTGTGTTGTGTGTGTATGCGTCTCTGTGTTGTGTCTATGGGTCTCTGTGTTGTGTATATGGGTCTGTGTGGTGAGTCTATGCGTCTCCGTGTTGTGTGTCTATGCGTCTCTTTGTTGTGTCTATGCGTCTCTGTGTTGTGTCTATGCGTCTTTGTGTGGGGAGTCTATGCGTCTCTGTGTTGTGTCTATGCGTCTTTGTGTGGTGAGTCTATGCGTCTCTGTGTTGTGTCTGTGTTGTGTGTCTATGGGTCTCTGTGTTGTGTGTCTATGGGTCTTTGTGTGGTGAGTCTATGGGTCTTTGTGTGGTGAGTCTATGCGTCTCTGTGTTGTGTGTCTATGCGTCTCTGTGTTGTGTGTCTATGGGTCTTTGTGTGGTGAGTCTATGCGTCTCTGTGTTGTGTATCTATGCGTCTCTGTGTTGTGTGTCTGGGTCTTTGTGTGGTGAGTCTATGCGTCTCTGTGTTGTGTCTATGCGTCTCTGTGTTGTGTGTCTATGGGTCTTTGTGTGGTGAGTCTATGCGTCTCTGTGTTGTGTGTCTATGCGTCTCTGTGTTGTGTGTCTATGGTTTTCTGTGTGGTGAGTCTATGGGTTTCTGTGTGGCGAGTTTAGCTTACGTGGCTGCTAGTATAAATTCCTACACACGATAATCCACGACGTTGAGCGATAATTCGTGATAGCCAAGTCACTTCTGAAAAAGAGCCACATAGCTCGGTGGGGGCCTTACCTGGTAAAATAAAAAAGATAGTTTTGTTGTCGTCATCATCACGATCCATGGGCAGATAGCCCCTCGGTGTCCACTGCACATTTCGTCATTAATTTCCACTTTCTTCTCTATCTTGTAGTGCCACATCTTTCTGGCACCAATCTCTTATGTCGTCATCAAGCCATTCTCTGTTCAGCCTTCCTCTCTTTCTGGTTTCTTCTATTTTTCCGAAAAACCCACGGCACCACGGTGGCTAGGAGATGTCAACTACCTCGCCTAGTATACAGGAGGTCGTGGGTTAAATCCCAACCCTGACACTCGCTGTAAATTTGGAGTTTGCTTGTCTATCTCTCTCCCTGTGGTTGCGTGGATTTTTCTCTGGTTGCTCCGGTTTTTCCCTCCATATTTAGAATCAGCATTACGCGTTTAGAGAATCTGGCTACTATAAATGTCCACGCGATGATAAGCCACTTTGCTGATTTATCATTTGTGACAGCCAGGTCACTGCTGAAAAAGAGCTACATTAGCTCAATGGGACCTTACTGGATAAAAAATATATATATAAATAGTACTTCGTTTTAGTTGTCTCAAATCGGCATCACTCTCTCCGGAAGTCCTCCTCCCCCTCCTCCTCCTCCTCCTCCTCCCGCTTCACCGCTGTGCCCAGGGCCGCGTGCACCGCCAGGCCGCCGGCTCGCGCGGCCGCCAGCACGGGCAGCAGGTGCCAGCGGGCGGGCGCCAGCACGTGGGCCAGCGCCAGGGGGCCGTCGCGCACGCGGCGCACCAGGCGGGTGGCGCCGGCGCAGCGCAGCTCCCGGCCCACGTCGTGGACGCAGCGGCGCAGCGCCAGCTGGGAGCCCTGGGGCGTGCACTGCACCTCTACGCACGCACGCGCAGACACGCACGCGCAGAGAGACACTCACACACTGCACCTCTACGCACGCACACGCGCAGACACGCACGCGCAGAGAGACACTCGCACACTGCACCTCTACGCACGCACGCGCAGACACGCACGCGCAGAGAGACACTCGCACACTGCACCTCTACGCGCACACGCGCAGAACACGCACGCGCAGAGAGACACTCGCACACTGCACCTCTACGCACGCACGCGCAGACACGCACGCGCAGAGAGACACTCGCACACTGCACCTCTACGCGCACACGCGCAGAACACGCACGCGCAGAGAGACACTCGCACACTGCACCTCTACGCACACATGCGCAGACACGCACGCGCAGAGAGACACTCGCACACTGCACCTCTACGCACACACGCGCAGACACGCACGCGCAGAGAGACACTCACACACTGCACCTCTACGCGCACGCGCAGAGAGACACTCACACACTGCACCTCTACGCATGCACACTGACACCAAGATCCACGTGAGTATTGGAACAGTCACATTAGTAGTGGTGGAGTTTGTTAACCCCTCCCCATGTGAGTAGTGGTACAGTCCCATTTGCAGTGGTGGAGTTAAGTGTTAACCCCCCCATTGGATGGGAGAGCCCAACCGAGCGTGAAGGCGGGGGGGTTGAAGTCGGCGAGCCGCACAGCGGTGATGAGGGCCGGCATCTTGTGCCGTGATGGGAGGAGGCAGCCAGAAACGGCGCGCAGGTATCCCTCGTGGCTCCCCACGTCTACGTCGGAGTGCCTGCACACACACGTGACACACACGTGACACACACGTGACACACACGTGACACACACACGTGACACACACGTGACACACACGTGACACACACGTGACACACACGTGACACACACGTGACACACACGACAGATCCCCCGGGTAGCCGTAACAGACAGTTGGGGCAAATGCTGTTAGCGAGTAGGACCTATGAAGGTCCCGGCACACCACACAAAGAGGGGGTGGGTGGTCAGTACCACGCCCGGCCGCCTTTGTCTCCCCAGTGGCAATGTTGACTACATACCGCACCGAGTACTCATTTGTGTGCGTGAGTGCGTGTGTGTGTGCGGGAGTGATTACGTGCGTGCGAGTGTGCGTGCGTGTGTGCATGAGTGCGTGCGTATGTGCGTGCGGGTGTGCATGTGCGTGCGTCTAAGTGCATGTGTGCATGCGTACGAGTGTGCGTTTGGGTGTGTGTGCGTGTGTGCGTGCATGCGTGTCTCACAGGAGCAGAGCCTTCTGGGCAGCGCCGTGCATCATCGCGACGGCTCTCTCCATCAGATCCCTCGTCACGTGCTCTGTGCGGCACGCCACAGTGAACACCACGCCATGGTGAAGACCACGCCACCATGAACACCACACCCCACAGAGCACACCACGGTGAACACCACGCCAAACACCGCACCATGCAGAGAACACCACGGTGAACACCACGCCACGGTGAACACCGCACCATGCAGAGAACACCACGGTTAACACCATGCCACGGTGAACACCACACCATTCAGAGCACACGACGGTGAACATCACCACGCAGAGCAAACCACAGTCAACACCACAGTGAACACAATTGTTAACACCAGACCAAGCAGACCACCCCACATGGAGTCCACCGTGGTGAATACCATGGAGAACACAGCATGCAGAGCACCCCACGGTGAACACCATGGTGAACACTACAGTGAACACCACACCAAGCAGACCACACCATAGCACACCGTGGTGAATACCACGGTGAACACAGCATGCAGATCACACCACGGTGAACACCCCACGGTGAAGACCACAGCACATGGTGAACACCCCATGGTGAACACCCCATGGTGAACACCCCATGGTGAACACCCCATGGTGAACACCCCATGGTGAACACCCCATGGTGAACACCCCATGGTGAACACATGGCATAGCACACACCGCTCCACAGCATAGAAAACAGTGTTACACCACCAACAACAATCGCCGTTCACCACGAAGCGGCGATGACATCACCACGGCGCTTGTGCCAGGCTAGGTGCATTGAGGCCACGTGAAGTGTCGAAGGCCTGCTGGCAGGTCACAGGAAAGACCCAGGTGGTGCCATGGGTTGACTGAGATGACTGGCAGATGCACCACCTGCGCTGGCAGATGCACCACCTGCGCTGGCAGATGCACCACCCACGCTGGCAGATGCACCACCTGTGCTCCCTTCTGTGCCAATTTGCTGTGTTTTAGTCAACCTGCAATCCGCTCGTTGTTGTGAGCGTCACTCCTCTGCCCTCCGTTGTTGCTGCTGGGTGTCTGCCCCCAACTGCCCAGTAGCATCCTTTATGAGCCTCCTACACATAGGTCAATCTTGATACCGCTGGTACCAGTCATCAGCAAATCCACTCAGCTCCATATTCTCTCATACCACATTATTCCATCTCTTATCTAATCTGTGCCGTGCCCGTTTAGCCTCCTCTATTTGGCCAAACAAAAGCTGTTACGCTGTTTGGGCATGCGGTGGTTGGGCATGCGGTGGTTGGGCATGCGGTGGTTGGGCATGCAGGCTACATGACCCTGCAAATGCAGCCTCACTTCGTTGGAGGAGCTCACTGATGAGTCCTGATTGTTCAAGGATCCGTGAGCTCTTCACACAATCCAGCCTGGTTAATCCCAGGATTTATCATAGGCAGGCCAGCATGTTTTAATCCGGCACAAATGTTCCACCAGAGGGGTCCACGTTTCACAAGCATAGAGAAGGGAGGGCATGACTATGGCCAAGAAGACCTAAGGCTTTGTGTCGAGCAACAGACCAGGTCACTTCCACACAGCATTACGCAGCCGATGAAAAGATAATGCCGCTCGACTGATTCGGAGTGAGACCTTTGCTGACAAACTAGTGTTGGTCATAAGCACACTGCCCAACTATGGAAACTTCCCCATTCTCTCTACAACTGCCCCATTACTCGTGGCAAGTAGAGGGAGGGGAACATTCCATGATATAAAATATCCAGGCAAGTACTTAGTTTGGGATATGTATGTTGAACTTCTTTCACACTAAATTTCGATTTAAAGCTTTCGTGACTGCAATGATTCATCTTCTTTGGTTCTTTCGGTAAAGTCACGTAGAATGAGAATAAAATAATAAATTGATAAAATAGCCAACCATCCTAATCGGAGGTGCGGGGGAAGAACAAACTAAACGCCTCTGTTGTAAGAGACTAACAGAGAATGTCGTGTCTGTGCAGGACCGCCCCAGCCTAAAACCACAACGGGACTCCGCAAGCCTCTCCCCTCGGCGTGCCTGGCAAAGTGGTTGGGCTAATGGTAAGGCGCCATCTCTCAGTAGCATGCTCCAGGTTAAGTAGTAGAGTCTCTAAATCCTCAGAGTGGGTAGTAATTACCAGATCATCCGCAGGCATGGTTGATCGATAGGTGGCCATCCCTTGATTGCACCCGGGCATTGATCAGCCTCTCGCTGTATCTGTACCTGATGGAAATTCCTCTGGTACAGCTTGGAAAGCATCACAAACTATGTGGTCAAAAAATGTTAAAGAGTGTAAGGGCCAAAAGACATCCCTGGGCCTATCCACCATCATGGGGCACCACGGTGGTGAGATGTTAACTACCTCACCTGGTATACAAGTGGTCGTAGGTTCAATCCCGACCTATATATTTGGAATTTGCGTGTCTCTCTCCTCGTGACCGCATACATTTTCTCTGGGTCCTCCGGTTTTCCCCTCCACATTTAGAATCAACATCACGCATTTAGAGTAGGTGGCTGCTTTAAATTTCCACATGATGATAAGACACTTCATTGAGCTATCGTTTGTGATTTCCAGATTGCTTCTGAAAAAGAGCTATATAGCTCAGTGGGGCCTTACCTGGTAAAATAAAGGTAGTTTAGTTTTAGCATAGTGCAGCCTTCAGCGTGCTGTGCTTTGAACCCAGTGACTGGATTTGATTCCCGTTCACGGCCAACACAAGTCATGAATGTCTGAATCGGTCCTGGGCCTTCCCTAGGTCGACTCAGCCTCAAATGAGTACCTAGTCAGCCCCCCCCCCCTCGTGTGCCGTGCAGGCCTTCATAGGTGCCCATTCCTCCGGTAGCCCCGCCCACCACTCTGATATGTATGGATATGTATGTTGAACTTCTTTCACACTGCATGTAGCCAACCATCCTAATCGGAGGTGCGGGGGAAGAACTAAACACACACAAAAAAATAAAGCAGTGATGTAAGTCCCCCGTTTAAATTCTCTACGCCTCTGTTATAAGAGACTAACAGAGAATATGGTGTCTGTGCAGGACCACCCCATTCTAAAACCACAACAGGGCTCCACAAGCCTCTCCCCTCAGCGTGCCTGGCAAAGTGAAGTTTATTTATTCTTGCGCGGACCTTTCCTGACACACTGAGGAGTGAGATTCCTGGTAGTTGTTACAGTCAGTAGTCACCCTTCTTCAAGAGGGGGACCACCAGGTCACCCTTACAATCCTGCGGAACCCGTCCTGTAGTCCAGACAGTTGTGATGAAGTATATCGGGCAGTCCTGCACACAGATGCCACCCTGCGTCAGCAGTTTGCTTAGGAGATCATCTCTATCCGGCGCTTTACCTGGTCTGAAGCTCCAGATTGCCCGTCGCACTTCTTCAAAAGACAGAATTGAGCGGCAAACCACTCGGAAGGTTTGGCTACTTCTTCCAATATTTTGAGGCACTCCATCTCCAGCAGGGTCATCCCCAACTTGCCCATGATGCTCTTTGAGCTGAGGGGTTTCCCCCTACACAGAAATACTCAGCAAAATTGTCCGAAATCTATTCTCGTGGGTTCGAAGACCGGATCACCATTCTTTCCCTTCAGGATGTTATTTGGCATGGCGCTTCAAGGTATTTGTGATCGTGTGCTACCGACGCAGTTTCCATTTTCTCAGCAACCTGCGACCACCACTCATCCTTGCAGCATCCCACAGCTTTCCAACCTCCGATGTTGGATATTGTAATGACAGGAGTGGACCTGTCGTTTTTTCCCAACCATCCAGAATACCGACTCCATCAGCCAGGGTTTCTCGGGAGGTTTGGACCATATCCCCAAAGCAGCCACTGCAGCTGCATGAGCCACAGTCCTAAACCTCGCCCATTTTCCCTCAACATTAGGAGTGGGGGGCGATGCCAACCCCAGTCACAAGCGATGATGAAATGCTCGCTTACAACTTTCATCAGCTAGACGAGACCAGGCCACTGCGGGTTTGAATGGAGTCCCAGATTAATGATTGTCACCAAAATGAAAATATAGCAGGAGCATCTTACAGATGACAAGCCGATGGTCAATAGGCAGATCAGCTCCCCAGTAGGTCCGGGTGTCAAGGACAGAGGCCCGCATTTGCTGTTCTGTCACTATATAGTCCATCAGATGTTCTTGCTTGGACCCAGCATGCATCCATGATCAGAATTAGAATATTTATTAAGACTGCAGGAAATAAATGAGCTATGAATCTCTTTTTCACAGATGTTGAAACAGCTTGCTGGTGGTTATAAGCTCATGGGCTTAATAGGAATTTAGTAGCCTCGTACCATAATTATTGAGCTGATCTGGACCATGCTTTCAAATCACTCTGGCTCAGGTGTCTGCGTCATGACCCACTCGGACATTAAAGTCACCCAACAAGATGACAGGAGGCACTTTAGCTGGCACCTGGGACAGGAGGCCGTAGAAGGAATCTGACTCATCAGCGTTATCTACATCCTTCCACTGATGATAATCTTCTGTGGGTCCATAAGCAGTCACCACCACTAACACCATTTCTCACCTTCCGTTGATGTGGAGGCGAGTCCACAACAACCTGGGCACTCACACCTTCCCAAACGTTGCCTCCATGCTCCCTTCATTCTTTTGTTTTGGAAGAAGAGCCACTCCCTGTTGTTTGGCAGTTTCCTGCCCCGAATGGAGGACTGTCCACCCCTTATGGTGAGATAATCAGTCCACCTGACCCTCCTGTACATCACAGCGGTCCAAGCGGTTACCAGTCCATCTCCGGACAGAGGAATGGAATCCTCTCCTCCGAAGCGAGCATTTGAACATTCCACGTGGCCACTCGCAGTGGTTTCTTTGCCATTTCTGGAGGAACTCCGAGGGTGCGGGTTCAGTCTCCTGGCTCCGCCAAATGGGGTTTGGCCAGGAGACGTCATAGACGCCTCTCCCCCCCTGGGGCCTCTGATACAAGATTATTTTGATATTTCATTCATGGTTTAGTGGTAAATTAATTAAATGTGGAGGGATTACCAGCCCCCATTGGCCGCTGTGGGACCAGCTGATTGGAATTGGCCCTCCCCACATGGTACATCCACCACAGCGTTACCGTCTAGCACCACTGTGAAGGTAGGGGGTTGTTTTTGCTGGCATAACCACGACACGCGGCACAATCACCGCACACGGCACAATCACCGCGCACAGCACAACCACCGCACACGGCACAACCACCGCACACGACACAACCACCGCCCACGGCACAACCACCGCACACGGCACAACCACCGCACACGGCACAACCACCGCACACGGCACAACCACCGCACACGGCATAGCCACCGATGATTATGTATTAGGCCTTCATCCAGCAGTGGATTGACCATGCCTGAATGAGGATGATGATGATGTGTCTGACCTGTATGGAATCTTTATCAGAATCTCTATTTAGATTGGAGAAATCTGATGAGCTATTAAGCTATTTTTTTCAGGTGGAGGTGGGTTTTAGGGGCGAGGGGTCGTTGTACCGTAGGTCACCGTCTCGATGACCCGGCCCTGGGTGGAGAAGTCCTCAGTGGCGATGCCCAGACGGCCGTGCAAGGTGTAGGCCTGCATCACCACCCGTGTCACAACAAGTGTCACAACCCACGTCACCACCCACAACAGAGACAAAGAACCCCCGTGTAGACTTAACAGACTGTTGGGGCCAAGTGCCGTTAGCGAGCACCTATGAAAGCCAGTATAGCACACGAAGGGGTGGGTTGCCAGCGCCATGCCCGACCACCTGTCTCCGTAGTGGCGATGTTTACACACCAGGTACTCATTTGAGGCTAAGTCGACCTAGGGGAGACCCAGAATTAGTTCAGATAATCGTCACTATTGTTGGCCGTGAGCGGGAATCGAACTCAGGTCGCCGGGTTCGTAGCGCAGCGCGTCAACCACTACACCATCGCTCTCCCACACAACCCACAACACAACCTACGTCACAACCCACACCAACAACAACAGACACCGTTTGCCACTAAGTGGCGGCGACGTCACCACGACACTTGTGCCAGGCCAGATGCACTCTGAGGCCACGTGAAGTGTGGAAGGTCTGCTGGCAGGAGGTCACGGAACAGACCCAGGTGCCATGGGTTGATGACTGGCAGATGCACCATCTAACCAGCAAAGGAGCGTCGCGACAAACGTGCAACCTCTTGCGGCAGCATTCACATAAACTGCTCTTGGCTGCCACTACTTGTAGTACTAGAAGTAGGTTCTACTCCTAGAGATGGGACTGTCCCCCAAGTTACGATGGTGGATCGTCACGTGGGACACAACCTCAACAGAAGATGCTCGGTCACCCATTGCGCATCTGTACTATACTAAAAGTAAGTGCATAATTCCGATATATTACCTTGTCTGCTATACTACATGTATTGTTGTTTATTGTTTATCATGTAAAAATAGTTTACACTTGTATAAAAATAGTCCATAATCAATGTATTTTTTGGGTTAGATCTCGTAAATATAAATGTCGCAAAACCCGGCACCACCCGACACAGCCTGAATAAGGTTTGTGACGTAAACAAAACGTGCCAATTAGTTTAACAACACATTGATATTTACGCTATCTAACCAAAAAAATCTCTATTATGGATAACATTGGTCGTGACAGCTTACCACGTGCAATAAAAAGTCACCATGAATATGGGGAACAAAAGTATTCACAGAGTACACACGAAAGAGACGATAGCCAGCCAGGGACGCTAACGCTCGGGCAGCCAAACATTCGCCGTGCAATGTGAACGGCGCTCTGGGCCTCAGCGGTGATGTTGACAGATCTCGAGCACGTGGTGGGCTAAGGTGCACGGTATGTAAAAAAGCGGGACTGGCTATCAACGAGTTGAGTACGTTAGAGAAAGTACTCGAAGCGGGAGGGGGGCGTACATATGGGTGTTGCCACCGTGAATGCAGGCAGCCGTAACCGAGCCACGGAAAACGTAGAGCAGGGATGATTGACGGAATCCAGAAGGGGGGAATATTCGGGAGGGGAAAGAAGATGAAGCAGATGGAGGAGAATGAGGGGTGTAGGGGAACCTGAGGGAAAGTTCTAGAGGATGGTGGTGGAGAGAGACGGTGGGCTGGTAGTCGGGAGAGAAGGCACCACAACCACTACCCAGGTGGTGTGTCGCGGTTGTGGTGGTTGTGCCACGGTTGTTGATGGGTGTGCCGCGGTTGTGGTGGTTGTACCGCGGTTGTGGTGGTTGAGCCACGGTTGTGGTGGTTGTGCCACGGTTGTGGTGGTTGTGCCACGGTTGTGGTGGTTGTGCCACGGTTGTTGGTGGTTGTGCCACGGTTGTTGGTGGTTGTTGGTGGTTGTGCCGCGGTTGTGGTGGTTGTGCCGCGGTTGTGGTGGTTGTGCCGCGGTTGTGGTGGTTGTGCCGCGGTTGTGTTGATTGTGCCGCGGTTGTGGTGGTTGTACCACGGTTGTTGGTGGTTGTGCCACGGTTGTGGTGGTTGTGCCACGGTTGTGACACGGTTGTGGTGGTTGTGCCACGGTTGTGGTGGTTGTGCCGCGGTTGTTGGTGGGTGTGCCACGGTTGTGGTGGTTGTGCCACGGTTGTGGTGGTTGTGCCGCGGTTGTGGTGGTTGTGCCGCGGTTGTGGTGGTTGTGCCGCGGTTGTGGTGGTTGTGCCACGGTTGTGGTGGTTGTGCCGCGGTTGTGGTGGTTGTGCCACACCTGCGTGACGGGTGACTTCCTCAGCTCGTCCAGCAGCCGTCTTCCTGAACCCACGGCGAAAACTGGTCGCGTGCCGGTGGTCGGGCGGTCAGAAATTTGGGGGTAGGGCAGGTCAAGGATCGAGAGGGTTCACACACACACACACGCGCGCACGGCACACGTTCACACCACAGTAAATGCACACGTGCGCATACACGGGAGTGTATGAAACCAGCGACCCGAGTTCGATTTCCGCTCACAGCCAACACTGGTGACGATTATAATCGTCACCAGTGTTGGCTGAGGCAGTCCTGGGCCTCCCCTAGGTGAATACCTGGTGAGATGTGTCTTCTCAACCACAGTCCTTCTCGGCCACAGCCATGCCCTCCCTCCCTTCTCTATGCTTGTGAAACGTGGACCCCCCTGGTGGAACATCTGCGCCAGTTAGAAACATTTAGGCTGACCTTCCTATGATCCATCCTGGGTTTAACCAGGCTGGATTGTGTGATGGGCTCATAAATCCTCTAAATATTTGGACACATTCCCATCCGTGAGTTCCTCCAGCAGGCAAGGTTGCATTGGCTGGGTCATGTAGCCCGCATGCCCAGCCACCGCATGCCCAAGCAGCTTCTGCTTCACCACATAGAGGGGGCTAAATGGGTACAACATGGACGGGAGAAGAGATGAACTGATGCGGTATTGGAGGATGTGGAGCTGAGTGGACTTGCCGAAGACTGGTACCAGCGGTGTCAAGATCAGCCTCTGTGGGGGAGGCCAGTGAAGGAAGTTGCTACTGGGCAGTTGGAGGCAGTTGCCCTCCAACAACAACGGGAGGGCAGAGGAGCGATACTCACAACAACGAGCGGAGCGCCGGGCGGCTAAAATGCAGTAAGTTGGCACAGTAGGGGGTACAGCTGATGCATCTACCGGTCATCTCGGTCAGCCAACCCATGGCACCTGGGTCTGTCCCGTGACCCCCTTTCAGCGAGCCTTCGACACTTCACGTGGCCTCAAATTGCACATGGCCCGGAAGAGGCACCGTGGTGATGTCACCGTCACTAACTAGCAAATGGCGGGTATTGGTGTGTGCGTGCGTGTGTGTGCATGTTTACCCAGCACTCCGGATGCACTTGCGTCCAGGCCGTGTCCGACCGCCAATCCGAGCGAATGGTAGCGCGGCCCCCTCACTGCCTCCGGCCAATCACAGCGTAGGACACAAACACACGTGCAGCCAATGGGAAGAAACATTACTGCTCACCCATCCTGTCGTCATGGCTATGAGAAAATTGCTCCCCCGCTGGCTTGACTCCCACCACTCGCTCGACCCATTGTTGTTGTGACAGTAGCGATTCTGGTTATTGTTGTAGTTGTTCTGGTCGTTCCTGTGGCTGTTGTAGTGACAATTGATGTGATTGTTGAAGTAGTGGTTGTGATAGGTTATGTGGTTTTGATCAGGTGGTTGTTGTGGCTCTTCCTGTGATTGTTCTTATGGCTGTAGTGGAAGAAGTTGTGGTTGTGGTAACAGCTGTTCTGTGGTCGTCGTGTTTGTGGTTGTTGGGTTGTTGTACCGAGTGGGTGATCCGCCAGGCTGGGAACCAGGGAAACGGCGAGACTCCGCTCCTCTCCTCTTTCCGTTGCCGTGGTTAAAGTCTCCACTTTCACCAGTTGCCGGGGACCTGGCTGCTTCAGAGCATTGAGCTCTGTCGCCATGACAACCGTACGACAGAAACCAAGGCAACACGCCGTCAGAATTCAATTACTCGACCGATTATCGGTTCAGTTACTTGGCTAATCGCGTAACGTGAACAGAGACATGCGAGACAGCGAGACATATGGAGATGCTGTGAGACACGCGGAGATACGGGGAGGCACGGGGAAACTCGTAGAGACACGAGGGGACACCGAGACACAAAGAAACAACACTGTGAGACACTAAGACAGAGACATGGGGATACAAAGAGACTGAGACACACGGTATGACAATTGGAGACACGGGGATTCCTAGGGAGTCACGGGGAAAGACAAGGGAAGTCACGTGGAGACACGATGAGACATGGGGAGTGACACAGGAAGTCACGGAGAGACACGGGGAGATACGGAGAGACACAAGGAGACACGGGGAGACACGGTGAGATACAAACAGAGACACGGGGAGATACAGAGAGACACGGGAAGTCACGTGGAGACACAAGGAGACACGGGGAGACACAGGGAGATAGAAAGAGACACGGGAAGTCACGTGGGGACACAAGGAGACACGGGGAGACACATAGAGACACAAGGAGACACAAGGAGACACAAGGAGACACGGGGAGATACTGGGGAGACACGGGGAGATACAAGGAGACATGGAGAGACACGGCGGGGAGACACAGGGAGATACAGAGAGACACAAGGAGACACGGGGAGATACGGGGAGACACGGGGAGATACAGAGAGACACAAGGAGACACGGGGAGATACAGAGAGACAGGGGGAGACACAAGGAGACACGGAGAGACACGGGGAGACACAGGGAGACACAGAGAGACACAAGGAGACACAAGAAGACACGGGGAGATACGGGGAGACACGGGGAGACACGGGGAGATACAGAAAGACACAAGGAGACAAGGGGAGACACAGGGAGATACAGAGAGACACAAGGAGACACGGGGAGACACGGTGAGACACGGGGAGATACAGAGAGACACGGGGAGACACAAGGAGACACAAGGAGACACGGGGAGACACGGGGAGGTACAGAGAGACACAAGGAGACACAAGGAGATACGGGGAGACACGGGGAGACACAAGGAGACACGGGGAGACACGGGGAGACACGGGGAGATACAGAGAGACACGGGAAGTCACGTGGAGACACAAGGAGACACGGGGAGATACAGAGAGACACAAGGAGACACAAGGAGACACGGGGAGACAGGGGGAGACACGGGGAGACACGGGGAGATAGAGAGACACAAGGAGATACGGGGAGATACAGAGAGAAACGGGGAGACACAAGGAGACATGGAGAAACACGGGGAGATACAGAGAGACACAAGGAGACACGGGGAGATACAGAGACAGGGGGAGACACAAGGAGACATGGAGAGACACGGGGAGACACGGGGAGATATAGAGAGACACAAGGAGACACGGGGAGACACGGTGAGACACGGGGAGATACAGAGAAACACGTGGAGACACGGGGAGACACAAGGAGACACGGTGAGACGCTGTGAGACACGGGGAGATACAGAGAGACACGGAGAGACACAGAGAGACACAAGGAGACACAAGGAGACACGGGGAGACACAGAGAGACACAAGGAGACACAGAGAGACAAAGGAGACACGGGGAGACACGGAGAGACACAAGGTGACACAGAGAGACACAAGGAGACACGGAGAGACACAAGGAGACACGGGGAGACACAGAGAGACACAAAGAGACACAAGAAGACACGGAGAGACACAAGGAGACATGGAGAGACACAAGGAGACACGGGGAGACACAGAGAGACATGGAGAGACACAAGGAGACACGGGGAGACACAGAGAGACACAAGGAGACACGGAGAGACACGGAGAGACACAAGGAGACACAGAGAGACAAAAGGAGACACGCGGAGACACGGGGAGACACGGAGAGACACAGAGAGACACAGAGAGACACAAGGAGACACGGGGAGACACAGAGAGACACAAGGAGACACGGAGAGACACGGAGAGACACAAGGAGACACAAGGAGACACGGAGAGACACGGAGAGACACGGAGAGACACAAGGAGACACAAGGAGAGACACGGAGAGACACGGAGAGACACAAGGAGACACGGGGAGACACAAGGAGACACGGGGAGACACGGGGAGGTACAGAGAGACACAAGGAGACACAAGGAGATACGGGGAGACACGGGGAGACACAAGGAGACACGGGGAGACACGGGGAGACACGGGGAGATACAGAGAGACACGGGAAGTCACGTGGAGACACAAGGAGACACGGGGAGATACAGAGAGACACAAGGAGACACAAGGAGACACGGGGAGACAGGGGGAGACACGGGGAGACACGGGGAGATAGAGAGACACAAGGAGATACGGGGAGATACAGAGAGACACGGGGAGACACAAGGAGACATGGAGAAACACGGGGAGATACAGAGAGACACAAGGAGACACGGGGAGATACAGAGATATAGAGAGAAACAAGGAGACACGGGGAGACACGGTGAGACACGGGGAGATACAGAGAAACACGTGGAGACACGGGGAGACACAAGGAGACACGGGGAGACGCTGTGAGACACGGGGAGATACAGAGAGACACGGAGAGACACAGAGAGACACAAGGAGACACAAGGAGACACGGGGAGACACAGAGAGACACAAGGAGACACAGAGAGACACAAGGAGACACGGGGAGACACGGAGAGACACAAGGAGACACAGAGAGACACAAGGAGACACGGAGAGACACAAGTAGACACGGGGAGACACAGAGAGACACAGAGAGACACAAGAAGACACGGAGAGACACAAGGAGACACGGAGAGACACAAGGAGACACGGGGAGACACAGAGAGACACAAGGAGACACGGAGAGACACGGAGAGACACAAGGAGACACAGAGAGACAAAAGGAGACACGCGGAGACACGGGGAGACACGGAGAGACACAGAGAGACACAGAGAGACACAAGGAGACACGGAGAGACACGGAGAGACACGGAGACACAGGGAGAGACACAAGGAGACACAAGGAGAGACACGGAGAGACACGGAGAGACACAAGGAGACACGGGGAGACACAAGGAGACACGGAGAGACACGGAGAGACACGGAGTGACACGGAGAGACACAAGGAGACACAAGGAGAGACACGGAGAGACACGGAGAGACACGGAGAGACACAAGGAGACACGGGGAGACACGGAGAGACACGGGGAGACACAGAGAGACACAAGGAGACACGGAGAGACACAGAGAGACACGGGGAGACACAGAGAGACACGGGGAGACACGGGGAGACACAGAGAGACACGGGGAGACACAAGGAGACACGGAGAGACACAGAGAGACACGGGGAGACACAGAGAGACACGGGGAGACACGGGGAGACACAGAGAGACACGGGGAGACACAGAGAGACACGGAGAGACACAAGGAGACACGGGGAGACACAGAGAGACACAAGGAGACACGGGGAGACACGGAGAGACACGGGGAGACACAAGGAGACACAGGGAGACACAGAGAGACACAAGGAGACACGGGGAGACACAGAGAGACACAAGGAGACACGGAGAGACACGGAGAGACACAGAGAGACACAAGGAGACACGGGGAGACACGGAGAGACACGGAGAGACACGGAGAGACACAAGGAGACACGGGGAGACACAGAGAGACACAGAGAGACACAAGGAGACACGGAGAGACACGGAGAGACACAGAGAGACACAAGGAGACACGGAGAGACACGGAGAGACACGGAGAGACACAAGGAGACACAAGGAGAGACACGGAGAGACACGGAGAGACACAAGGAGACACGGGGAGACACAAGGAGACACGGAGAGACACGGAGAGACACGGAGAGACACAAGGAGACACAAGGAGAGACACGGAGAGACACAAGGAGAGACACGGAGAGACACAGAGAGACACAAGGAGACACGGAGAGACACGGAGAGACACAAGGAGACACAAGGAGAGACACGGAGAGACACGGAGAGACACAAGGAGACACGGGGAGACACAGAGAGACACAAGGAGACACGGAGAGACACGGAGAGACACAAGGAGACACAAGGAGAGACACGGAGAGACACGGAGAGACACAAGGAGACACGGAGAGACACGGAGAGACACGGAGAGACACAAGGAGACACAAGGAGAGACACGGAGAGACACGGAGAGACACAAGGAGACACGGAGAGACACGGAGAGACACAGAGAGACACAAGGAGACACGGAGAGACACGGAGAGACACGGAGAGACACGGAGAGACACAAGGAGACACAAGGAGAGACACGGAGAGACACGGAGAGACACAAGGAGACACGGGGAGACACAAGGAGACACGGAGAGACACGGAGAGACACGGAGAGACACGGAGAGACACAAGGAGACACAAGGAGAGACACGGAGAGACACGGAGAGACACAAGGAGACACGGGGAGACACGGAGAGACACGGGGAGACACAGAGAGACACAAGGAGACACGGAGAGACACAGAGAGACACGGGGAGACACAGAGAGACACGGGGAGACACGGGGAGACACAGAGAGACACGGGGAGACACAAGGAGACACGGAGAGACACAGAGAGACACGGGGAGACACAGAGAGACACGGGGAGACACGGGGAGACACAGAGAGACACGGGGAGACACAGAGAGACACGGAGAGACACAAGGAGACACGGGGAGACACAGAGAGACACAAGGAGACACGGGGAGACACGGAGAGACACGGGGAGACACGGAGACACGGGGAGACACAGAGAGACACAAGGAGACACGGAGAGACACGGAGAGACACAGAGAGACACAAGGAGACACGGGGAGACACGGAGAGACACGGAGAGACACAAGGAGACACGGGGAGACACAGAGAGACACAGAGAGACACAAGGAGACACGGAGAGACACGGAGAGACACGGAGAGACACAAGGAGACACGGGGAGACACAGAGAGACACAAGGAGACACGGAGAGACACGGAGAGACACAGAGAGACACAAGGAGACACAAGGAGACACGGGGAGACACGGAGAGACACGGAGAGACACAAGGAGACACGGGGAGACACAGAGAGACACAGAGAGACACAAGGAGACACGGAGAGACACGGAGAGACACAGAGAGACACAAGGAGACACGGAGAGACACGGAGAGACACAGAGAGACACAAGGAGACACGGAGAGACACGGAGAGACACGGAGAGACACGGAGAGACACGGAGAGACACAAGGAGACACAAGGAGACACAAGGAGAGACACGGAGAGACACGGAGAGACACAAGGAGACACGGGGAGACACAAGGAGACACGGAGAGACACGGAGAGACACGGAGAGACACGGAGAGACACGGAGAGACACAAGGAGACACAAGGAGAGACAAGGAGAGACACGGAGAGACACGGAGAGACACGGAGAGACACGGAGAGACACGGAGAGACACAAGGAGACACAAGGAGAGACACGGAGAGACACGGAAAGACACAAGGAGACACGGGGAGACACAAGGAGACACGGAGAGACACGGAGAGACACGGAGAGACACGGAGAGACACAAGGAGACACAAGGAGAGACACGGAGAGACACGGAGAGACACAAGGAGACACGGGGAGACACGGAGAGACACGGGGAGACACAGAGAGACACAAGGAGACACGGAGAGACACAGAGAGACACGGGGAGACACAGAGAGACACGGGGAGACACGGGGAGACACAGAGAGACACGGGGAGACACAAGGAGACACGGAGAAACACAGAGAGACACGGGGAGACACAGAGAGACACGGAGAGACACGGAGACACGGGGAGACACAGAGAGACACAAGGAGACACGGAGAGACACAGAGAGACACGGGGAGACACAGAGAGACACGGGGAGACACGGGGAGACACAGAGAGACACGGGGAGACACAAGGAGACACGGAGAGACACAGAGAGACACGGGGAGACACAGAGAGACACGGGGAGACACGGGGAGACACAGAGAGACACGGGGAGACACAGAGAGACACGGAGAGACACAAGGAGACACGGGGAGACACAGAGAGACACAAGGAGACACGGGGAGACACGGAGAGACACGGGGAGACACAAGGAGACACGGGGAGACACAGAGAGAGACAAGGAGACACGGAGAGACACGGAGAGACACAGAGAGACACAAGGAGACACAAGGAGACACGGGGAGACACGGAGAGACACGGAGAGACACAAGGAGACACGGGGAGACACAGAGAGACACAGAGAGACACAAGGAGACACGGAGAGACACGGAGAGACACGGAGAGACACAGAGAGACACGGAGAGACACAAGGAGACACAAGGAGAGACAAGGAGAGACACGGAGAGACACGGAGAGACACGGAGAGACACGGAGAGACACGGAGAGACACAAGGAGACACAAGGAGAGACACGGAGAGACACGGAGAGACACAAGGAGACACGGGGAGACACAAGGAGACACGGAGAGACACGGAGAGACACGGAGAGACACGGAGAGACACAAGGAGACACAAGGAGAGACACGGAGAGACACGGAGAGACACAAGGAGACACGGGGAGACACGGAGAGACACGGGGAGACACAGAGAGACACAAGGAGACACGGAGAGACACAGAGAGACACGGGGAGACACAGAGAGACACGGGGAGACACGGGGAGACACAGAGAGACACGGGGAGACACAAGGAGACACGGAGAAACACAGAGAGACACGGGGAGACACAGAGAGACACGGAGAGACACGGAGACACGGGGAGACACAGAGAGACACAAGGAGACACGGAGAGACACAGAGAGACACGGGGAGACACGGGGAGACACAGAGAGACACGGGGAGACACGGGGAGACACAGAGAGACACGGGGAGACACAAGGAGACACGGAGAGACACAGAGAGACACGGGGAGACACAGAGAGACACGGGGAGACACGGGGAGACACAGAGAGACACGGGGAGACACAGAGAGACACGGAGAGACACAAGGAGACACGGGGAGACACAGAGAGACACAAGGAGACACGGGGAGACACGGAGAGACACGGGGAGACACAAGGAGACACGGGGAGACACAGAGAGAGACAAGGAGACACGGAGAGACACGGAGAGACACAGAGAGACACAAGGAGACACAAGGAGACACGGGGAGACACGGAGAGACACGGAGAGACACAAGGAGACACGGGGAGACACAGAGAGACACAGAGAGACACAAGGAGACACGGAGAGACACGGAGAGACACAGAGAGACACAAGGAGACACGGAGAGACACGGAGAGACACAGAGAGACACAAGGAGACACGGAGAGACACGGAGAGACACAGAGAGACACAAGGAGACACAAGGAGACACGGAGAGACACAGATAGACACAAGGAGACACGGGGAGACACGGAGAGAGACACAAGGAGACACGGGGAGACACAGAGAGACACAGAGAGACACAAGGAGACACGGGGAGACACAAGGAGACAAGGAGACACGGGGAGACACGGAGAGACACAAGGAGACACGGAGAGACACGGAGAGACACAGAGAGACACAAGGAGACACAAGGAGACACGGAGAGACACAGATAGACACAAGGAGACACGGGGAGACACGGAGAGACACAAGGAGACACGGGGAGACACAGAGAGACACAGAGAGACACAAGGAGACACGGGGAGACACAAGGAGACAAGGAGACACGGGGAGACACGGAGAGACACAAGGAGACACAGAGAGACACAAGGAGACACGGGGAGACACAAGGAGACACGGGGAGACACAAGGAGACACGGAGAGACACGGGGAGACACAGAGAGACACGAGACACGGGGAGACACAAGGAGACAAGGAGACACGGGGAGACACGGAGAGACACAAGGAGACACAGAGAGACACCAGGAGACACGGAGAGACACAAGGAGACACGGGGAGACACGGGGAATCGCGGCGAGGCGCTCACCCTGCAGGAGCCGGTTCTCCATGGTGGAGCGCACCTGGCGCCAAGTCACCCCAGCTGGTTTGTAGACGGCGAACACCCCGTGCAGCTCACGCAGCACGCGCGGCCCAAACATCGCGCACAGCATGCACAGACAGCATGCACACAGCACGTATAGAGCCTGCACAGACAGCATGCACACAGGATGCTTACAGCATTGTACAGTCAGCCTGCACAGAGCCTGCACAGACAGCACGCACACAGCTGGCACAGACAGCACGCACACAGCTGGCACAGACAGCACGCACACACCCTGCACACAGCCAACACGCACCCTGAACACAGCCAACACGTACCCTGAACACAGCCAACACGCACCCTGCACACAGCCAACACGCACCCTGCACACAGCCAACACGCACCCTGTACACAGTCAACACGCACCCTGCACACAGCCAACACGCACCCTGTACACAGCCAACAAGCACCCTGTACACAGCCAACACACCCTGTACACAGCCAACACGCACGCTGTACACAGCCAACAAGCACCCTGAACACAGCCAACACGTACCCTGTACACAGCCAACACGCACCCTGTACACAGCCAACACGCACCCTGTACACAGCCAACAAGCACCCTGAACACAGCCAACACGCACACCTGTACACAGGCAACACGCACCCTGTACACAGCCAACAAGCACCCTGAACACAGCCAACACGCACCCTGTACACAGCCAACACGCACCCTGTACACAGCCAACACGCACCCTGCACACAGCCAACACGCACCCTGCACACAGCCAACACGCACCCTGTACACAGCCAACACGCACCCTGCACACAGCCAACACGCACCCTGTACACAGCCAACAAGCACCCTGAACACAGCCAACACACCCTGTACACAGCCAACACGCACGCTGTACACAGCCAACAAGCACCCTGAACACAGCCAACACGTACCCTGTACACAGCCAACACGCACCCTGTACACAGCCAACACGCACCCTGTACACAGCCAACAAGCACCCTGAACACAGCCAACACGCACACCTGTACACAGGCAACACGCACCCTGTACACAGCCAACAAGCACCCTGAACACAGCCAACACGCACCCTGTACACAGCCAACACGCACCCTGTACACAGCCAACACACACCCTGTACACAGCCAACACGCACCCTGTACACAGCCAACACACACCCTGTACACAGCCAACACGCGCCCTGTACACAGGCAACACGCACCCTGCACACAGCCAACACGCACCCTGTACACAGCCAACAAGCACCCTGAACACAGCCAACACGTACCCTGTACACAGCCAACACGTACCCTGCACACAGCCAACACACACCCTGCACACAGCCAACACGCACCCTGTACACAGCCAACACGCACCCTGTACACAGCAAACACGCACCCTGTACACAGGCAACACGCACCCTGCACACAGCCAACACGCACCCTGTACACAGCCAACACGCACCCTGTACACAGCCAATACGCACCCTGTACACAGCCAACACACACCCTGTACACAGCCAACACGCACCCTGCACACAGCCAACACACACCATGTACACAGCCAACACACACCCTGTACACAGCCAACACACACCCTGTACACAGCCAACACGCACCCTGTACACAGCCAACACGCACCCTGTACACAGCCAACACGCACCCTGTACACAGCCAACACGCACCCTGTACACAGCCAACACGCACCCTGTACACAGCCAACACGCACCCTGTACACAGCCAACACGCACCCTGCACACAGCCAACACGCACCCTGCACACAGCCAACACGCACCCTGCACACAGCCAACACGCACCCTGCACACAGCCAACACGTACCCTGCACACAGCCAACACGCACCCTGCACACAGCCAACACGCACCCTGTACACAGCCCACACGCACCCTGCACACAGCCAACACGCACCCTGTACACAGCCAACAAGCACCCTGAACACAGCCAACACGTACCCTGTACACAGCCAACACGCACCCTGTACACAGCCAACAAGCACCCTCAACACAGCCAACACGTACCCTGTACACAGCCAACACACACCCTGTACACAGCCAACAAGCACCCTCAACACAGCCAACACGTACCCTGTACACAGCCAACACACACCCTGTACTATTACACAGCGCGCGTTGCTGGGATCCACGCCGCTCAAGGGGCCGTCGCTTCAAAGCTTCACCCTCGCGCGCGGGGAAGAAAAGTCGCGGGAGACAGCGGGGTGGGGACGACGGGAGACAGCGAGGGGGGGGAGGACCGCGGGAGACCGCGGGGGGGAGATATCGGCGGGAGACAGCGGGGGGAGGAACGGCAGGAGACAGCGGTGGGATGGGTGATCGCGGTGGGGACAGCAGAGTGGCGTGCAACGCGGGGGCCATGTGCGCAGCCATCTTACCCCGGAAGCGACTGTCAGGTCCCCGCGTTGTGGGGACGTCAACTGGCGCGAAGCAACCGCCGGTCCTCATTGGCCGAGTCGCGTCGCCGACGTCCGGCTCGGGTTATTTGCAAGCGATTGCGTCATGCCTCGCGGTGACGTCATAATCTCGTAACTTGTGATGACGTTTGCACCGGGCATGGCAGAGATGGGACCCGCTTCTCGCTTCATATCGTTCATATCGATGCCATTCACGATCATCGCGTGTGAAGGAATATTCCGATGAAAGGCGTGCGTATGGGTTCTACGTGGCCACAGTAGCCACCAGAGGCCGATATATAGCTGGTAAAATAAAAAAAAGATGTTTTTATTTGTATTTTTTAAAAGTTATTTGCTTACCTTTCCAACTTTGCACTGTGATCGTCTTTATATTGTTTGATGTCACGTTTTGACACGCCCCCTACTGGACATCTGTGAAAAAGAGCTTTATAGCTCATCGGATTCTTGCTCCAGTGGTGGCGAGATGTTATCTCCCTCGCCTGGTATGCAGGAGGTCGTGGGTTCCATCATGACCCGGACGCCTGCTGCTGCTGTATATTTGGAGTTTACAGGTTCTCCCCATGGTCGCGTGGATTTTGGAAATTGTAGAGCTGCTGCTATACATTCCCACGTGATGACAAGCCACGAAGTTGAGCTATTATTTGTGGCCAGGTCTCTTGTGAAAAAAACAAGCTAAGAGCTCAGTTGGCTTTACCTGGTAAAATAAATAATAGTAACCATTCGTTTTTACATTGTTATGAAAGTTAAACGTTTATTTTAAACCAACCCGAATCGCGATAGTTGAGGTAACAATGTCGAATGTGACAATGTTGAATGCCGTCCGGTTCTGATGTTACTCTGCACCGACGTTGGCAGTGAGCGGGAATCAAACCCGGAGTGGCCAGATTCGTAGCCTGTGTTTAAACTTTTAGTTTTTATCAAGTTAAGCCCACTGGGCTATTTCGCTCTTTTTTTAGAAGCGACCTGGCCACAAATGATAGCTCAATGAAGTGGTATATCATGTTCATTTTAGCAGCCAAATACTCTAAGCGCATGTTTCTACATGTGAAACGAAAAAGTGGAGAGCCGGGAGAAAAATGTACGCGACTACAGGGATAACATGCAAACTCCAAATATACAGGCGTCAGGGTCGGGATCAAATCCACGACCTCCTGTATACTAGGCGAGGTAGTTAACATCTCGCCACCACGGCGCCTATTTAAATGCCCACACACTCTCTCTCCCAGCGTGAGACCGTCTCATTAAACATTTTGTGGAGGATCGCTCAGCTGAACAAAATCGTTCCACGGTTGAATTCGCAAGTGCGTTTTAAGTCCACGTAAAACACACATGAATATTTCGTGGAATGCTGGTTCATAAGTGCGGGTGCTCGTACATGCGGGTGCTCGCGAGTCCGGGTGCTCGCGAGTCCGGGCGCTCGCGAGTCCGGGCGCTCGCGAGTGCGGGTGATGGTAAGTGCGGGTGATGGTAAGTGCGGGTGATGGTAAGCGCGGGTGATGGTAAGCGCGGGTGATGGTAAGCGCGGGTGATGGTAAGCGCGGGTGATGGTAAGCGCGGGTGATGGTAAGCGCGGGTGATGGTAAGCGCGGGTGATCGTAAGCGCGGGTGCTCGTAAGCGCGGGTGATGGTAAGCGCGGGTGATGGTAAGCGCGGGTGATGGTAAGCGCGGGTGATGGTAAGCGCGGGTGCTCGTAAGTGCGGGTGTTCGTAAGTCGAGGACTGCATGCATCTCATCAGTGAACAAATTATTTGGTGTTGCTAATCCTCCGTGTCAACACCACGGTGGCCTTAAAATGAATATGTAACAGGTGACATTTCAGGTAATGGCCCTTCTTCACAGTAAATGCAATCTTCTGCTCTTCCAGTTCGCGAGAGCAACTCTCAAACTTTTATGGCTGTGTAACCCCCTTGTTGAATTTTGTTTCAACCGAGTACTGTACCTCCTTGCCTGACCCAACACGGTTCTGAGAAATAAATATATTAATGAACGTCAATATTTTAAACACCTGTCCATTTTATTAAGTATCCTAACTAGCTAAATAACAGGCGCTCTGCATGCGTGAAGTAATTTGTTCACGCTCGCCGGTTACTCGTGGAAACCAAAATTGTTTACGATCATTGAGTTTAGAAAGGTCCTTTGATATCGATCTAGGTTACCATATTGATTTAAACTGTTATTTTTACATTGGCAGATTCATCATACGTGATTATTCACCAATGACTCTCACGTACAATATAATTTCACACATTTATAAATCACCTAATGGTAACCTTCAGTGATCCGCATAATGCCCGGTTGAGAGCCAGAGTTCGACCACCCAACCTGTTAATGATGTGCGCAGGGTTAAAATCACTCATCTCCACATGCGGTGGGGGTCTTGTAGTTCTCTTTATTTAAGAAATTACCAAACATTCGACGAAGAAATCCGTCCCGCAGTGCCTACAGACTGCGTCATCAGTACAGTCGTCCATCCTGCACGTGTCCCACCCATCACCACCTGCTCTTCCTGATGGTACATTATGGAATGTAGTGCTTAAGAAGTAAGATATGCAAGTCACTGGAATTGGAATGATTCGCTCCCCCCTGAACTCGACCTGACAACATGAATTGTCACACTTCAAGAGTTGCTGTTGCCGTGTTGGTGGTAACAACGCAGCAGCGGATGGCGGCGCCTCGAGTGGCCCCGGCTGTTCGGGTTGAACCCCAGCGCAACGTACGCGCGATTGTGAATCAAACATGTCCCGTCCATCAATTGGCAGCGCGGGAAAGTGGGATTGAAACGGCATTTCCGGAGATGCCAGGGACCGCTGGCTCCGACTCGTGGCTATGGTGAGCCACTCCACCAACGCTCAAGTGCAGCGTCCCGACCCATCATCGTACACCCAGCAAGGGCTACAGCAGACACAAAGCAACGCAAAGTGGTGTACGTACTCACCCCTTCCGCCACCACCCCGCGTAACATGTGCAAGAATTGAGGCTAATAACGTGTTTATGTTAAAAAAAAGTCTTCAGCTATATATATAAAACACCACACAGATTCTCGATCACACGCACAGTAGCCTCGCCCGGGAAAGCACCAGCACCCACGGAAATTTATCCTGGTATTTCTTCAGGAATTTCTCCCTGTATTTCTTCAGGAATTTATCCAGGGAATTCGTCCGCGAATTTCTCAGGGAAATTTCTCCACGTATTACTCCCACTCGAAGCCAACCTCTCAAACGCCAATGGAATTCACATGCCGAACATCCTGACGCAGCGGCAGCAGCATCCTTCCCCGCATAGCAATCTTGAGACTGGGTGAGGTTTGCCGAGATAACAAGTGTATTATTATTATCGCAAAAGCTTCTGTTTATCCGGCACTTTTACTATCTGGAATGTTTCTATTAACCGGCATCGGTTCCCACAGAAACGGCAAGACAAATCTTCCTTCGCCGCATCTGGAAAAAAATTTCCGGCAGCCATCCGGCATCTTGCCGTGCGCTTCTCGTAGATCCGTCCTTGTTGCCAACGGGAGCTTCAGGACCCTGCCAGTCTGTATGTACAGTACAGTACTACTTTACTCTAAGCTGCCCCACTGCTTTCTTTACAATCAACTTAGAATGCTCTGTACAACTACCTGCTGAGTACCTGATGCGAAAACAGTGTATCATTTCTTATATCACAGTTTAACAAATATGTAGGCTTAAGATTCTCTCTTGAAAGTTTGTATGTGCTTGGAAAACTTTGGCGAACCGTGAGTGCAGCTCTCAGAGACCCGGCATATTTTATTAACCGGAACGTTTGCTGTGCTACTTTTGTTGTTGTTGATGTTATTTACACTGCCATTCCCCGCCCTGCCCTGCCACACCACCCTCTCTCAACGGTCCACCCATTCTCCCCGTCGTCTCTCAAACAGCAGCCACCGTGCACCTCACTCTGCGTGCTTTTCCCCCAGCCGCTTGTCCCCTATTGTGCGTCCTGTGCTACGTGCATCTCTAGGGGGAGTGGGGGGGGGCACCAACCTTTTCTCAAGAGGGCAAAGATTGGCCGCATTGCTTTTCATTCGCGACTTCCAGTTTTTCCCAAAAAAAACACTCCACAATCGTCTGTGTGAACAGGAATCATCTTGTTAATACAATACTTTTGGGAAAAAAAATACACTCGACCCTGCCCCATTCATTTCATCACTTTCACCGTGCCACCCTGGGTTCACGCACTCCGCCGAGTCCCTTCCAACAGGCGCCCCCCCCCCCCCTCCTCCACCTCTCCTCTCGTTCAACCGCTAAAGCTACCTGCGGCATCGTCAAGAATAGATTAGCCAACTCGTAATTCGATGCATTCGCCGCCAAGCATTGAGAATTAGTCTGTCAATCCATTAATCGTAACGAGCTCGGTTGTTGCCTTGTGAGAGGGAAACCGGAGTTAACCTGTGCTCTATGAAACTTTTAAGTGACGCTCTTGAGCCATTGCAATCCCTGCGCAGCACTGCCATCTGCTGGTCTCTCTGCAGCTCTGCATGTGCCGCCATGTTGCTGTCTACCGAGTGTACTCTGTGTGTGTGTGTGTGCGCGGTGCAATTTGTTGCCAGTTGAGTAACATTGCCTGTGTGCTGCGTTAACTGTGAGCGCGGCTACGCAATCCGTGCGCACTAGGTTATATTAACTATACTGGTTGTGTTGGCTGGTTGGGTATTGCGGTACGTGGCTATGTAGGTTGTATTGGTTTTACTGGTTGGGTTGGCTGTGTGTGTGCTGCATCCAGTGCATGTGCGTGCTGTTTCCAGTGTGTCACTGTACATGACCGTGTCGGCTACTCGCTACGCCGGTGCCAAGCTGGGTCCCGGAGCCTCGCGACTCCCCATCAGAGGTCGTCCCTCCAGGTCATGACCTTGTCGTACTCCTGGATGCGCTGCTTGATGTGGGCCAGCTTGGCCTTGAGGTACTCGCACCGCTCCTTCTTCTCCAGGAACGCTGGGTCCTGCGGGAGAAGGACCCAAGCGACACGTGAATGACACCACCTCATTGGATTGTTATATGTGAATCTGGATTAAGCCCTCATATATATATCGCTCATCGGGAAATAATAGCGCTGTCAGTAACGCATCTCCATTGGAAGCGTGTTATAGTGGCCTCCTATAGCGCTGTTGCGTACAGCGCTCCATTTACCAAGAACGCATGCCGAGCGCTATGGGAGGACTGCCTGTATAGACTACTCAGGGACCCAGAACCAAACCTTGCGGAACACCGATATTGCACCACTCACCTCGGTGTGGTGCAATGCAGTGAAAACTAAAACTATTTTGTATTTTACTTTACCAGGTAAAGCCCCACTGAGCTATATAGCTCTTTTTCAGAAGCAACCCAACTATCACAAATGATAGCCTTACAAATTGGCTTAAGTGGAAATCTATATCAGCAGCAAATAATCGAAATGCAAGTTTCTACAGACTCAGAAACCACCTATAGACTCATACAGAACCATACTCAAAGACTCAGAGATCCATAGAGACCCACAGAGATCCAGAGACTCATATAGAACCATAGAGACCCACAGAAACCCACAGAGACTCATAGACGCCCCATGCTCATCGAGACCCATATAAAAGCTAAACTATTTGATTTAACAGGTAAAGCCCACTGAGCTATTAAGCCATTATCTCTTTTTCAGAAGCGACCTGGCGACAAGTGACAGAATCAACAGCGTTCATTCTAAATGTGGAACGAAAAACCGGAGAATCTGGAGAAAAATCCACATGACCACTCGGAGAGAGACACCGCAAACGCCAAATATACAGCAGGCATCGTCAGGGTCAGGAATGAACCCACGACCTCCTGCATACCAGGCGAGGTAGTTAACATCTCCTCGGCACCGCGGCGCCCCATTGTGGGTGTGGCACAGGAGATAATTTGTTGCAAGCGTCCGTACAGGACGTAGTGTCAAGAGAGGTACAGTGCGTCCAGTGCATACAGTGCGTGCACTTACATTCTTTTTCTTCTCGTACTCCTGGAATACGTTCGCCACTCGCTCCATCTCCTATAGGGACGTCACAGGCAGGGTCAGCAGACAGCTCACCACCTCCTTACCCTCCTCTACAGCTCACCAACACCTCCTTATCCCCCCTCTTCTACAGCTCACCACCGCCTCACCCTCCTCACCCCGCCCCTCCTCTACAGCTCACCACCACCACCACCTCCTCACCTCTCTCCTCTACAGCTCACCACCACCTCCTCTACAGCTCACCAACTCCTAACCCTCCTCCTTTGTAGGTCACCACCTCCTCACCCCCCCCTCCTCTACAGCTAAACGCCTCCTCACCCTCCTCCTCTAGAGCTCACCACCTTCTCATCCCCCTCAACAGACTACACGGCCATCTCACCATCCTCTATAGTCCGTGGGTCTATGCGAGTCGATGTGTCTCTATGCGAGCCTACGTGTCTCTGTGCGAGTCAATGAGCGTGTCATTGCGAGTCTTTCTACGTTAGTCTCAACTTCTCTGTATGAGTCTGTGAACCTCTCTGTATGAGTCTGTAAACCTCTGTGTGAGACTGTGGGTCTGTGTGAATCGGAGTCTCTATACGAGTCTCTAAGCCTCTCTGGATGAGTCTATGACCCCCTCTCTGTGAATCTGTTGGTCTACCTGTATGAGTATGACTCTCTCTGTGTGAGTCTATTGAGTCCTAAATGCGAGTCTGTGATCCTCTCTGCGAGTCTGTGGGTCTCCGTGTGAGTCTGTATGTCTCCGTGTGAGTCTGTATGTGTCTGTAGGTCTCTGTGTGAGTCTCTCCTTGGGTTTGTAGTTTTCTTTGTGGGTCTATGTGCGAGTCTTTGCGCCTCTCTGTGGGCCTCTCTGTGGGCCTCTCTGTGGGCCTCCCTGTGGGCCTCTTTATGGGCCTCTCTGTGGGCCTCTCTGTGGGCCTCTCTGTGGGCCTCCCTGTGGGCCTCTCTATGGGCCTCCCTGTGGGCCTCCCTGTGGGCCTCCCTGTGCGCCCTTCCGCTCCACCTGCTGGCTGTGCGACTCCGTGGGCAGCCGCTTGATGAGCCCCTCCAGCTGGGTGAAGCGGCGCGCCACGGCATGCAGCTCGGCGCTCAGCTCCCGGTACTCGGCGTACTGGTCGGTGAACACCGCCTTGTAGCGGTCGCGCTCCTCGTCAGAGCCGATTGGAGGGTACTTCCTGAGCACAGCCGGTCACGACAATCGCGATCGGTTATAACACACAAGGGGGTTCTCCTCGGTTCACGAACGAACGCTCGGTTCACAAACGAACGTTTGCTTTACGTTAATTTCGCGTAAGCGCAAAGGGCAAATCATGGACACTTTCCGATTTCCGAAATCGAATTTCCGCAATGAAATGTCACACGGCATGAGCCGCGAGGTCATCAAACGATAATCCACTGGGGAAGCTGCGTCATCCGTCCGCTACTGGACATCTGTGACAAATCGCTTCAAAGCTCATCAGATTCCTCCGCCAATCCAAATAAAGATTCTGATTGCGAACCGTGACAGCGTCACGGTATCAGCAGATCTTTTGGTGAGTTCCCCCTTAAAAGGTTCATTATTTTATTCATTATCAATAAACCTTTTTACATTTTATGCTCTTTATTATTATTTTTGCATGGTAAAAAGTGATGTGTGTGTATTATAGTTTTAGGTTAGGAGTAGAGTTGGAATCACTGTCCGAAACGCATCCCAAATGTTTTAGTTTTCAATTAATGGTAGAAGCGGATATACGAAGATTCGTTTCACCCACGTTGTTTGAAGAACGCACCCCTTGCATAAACTAAAACTAGTTTTTATTTTACATAACACAGATTTTTTGGGTTTGATCGCGTAAATATATGTCCTTAAACTCGCCGCCACCCGAGAGGCAAGCCACAACATTTACAATTTGAATGACATTCGCCAGTAATTACAACTAGCTTCATCAGGCGACAGCCAGATTTATGGATAAGTCCTGCTGTTTTGTTCCTTAAATAGAGGGGTAGATATGATGACAACAATTGTCTGCCCTTCTTAAAAACTATTGCAATTAGCAATAGTTTTATTTTACCAGGTAGGGCCCCACTGAGCTATGTAGCTCTTTTTCAGAAGTGACCTGGCCATCACAAATTATAATTCAATGAAGTGGCTTATCATTACCATCATCACTTGGAAATTTATAGCTGTCAAATACTCTCAACGAGTGACGTTGATTCTAAATGTGGAGGGGAAAAACCAGAGGGCCCAGAATAAAATCAACATGACCACAGGGAGAGAGAGAGGGACACGCAAACTTAAAATATAACGCAGGCGTCAAAGTCGGGATCAAACCCACAACCCCCTGTGTACCAGGCGAGGTAGTTAATATATTTTAGCCACCGTGGCGCTGGTATCGTAAATCTCGGGATAACTGAATAATATGATAATGTACTTATTTATCCAGGAGAGCCACACTGAGTCCGAGAACTCTCGACCAGGAGGGGTCCTGCCACTGCATTGGATTTTTATTTCAAGATGTGACCCCGTGCCCGTATTGGACATCTGTGAGAAAGAGATTTATAGATCATCGGATTCCTCCAGTATAAGTACATATTTTGATTGTCATGAATAATTATTTTAAATTACTGATGAATGGTGTTTATTATAACCCCACGGGAGGACGACACCGGAGCACCCGGCGGAAACTAACACCTTGCGTGAGGGGGCAATGCTCTATCCCCCACGTACAGTTGTAAATAGACGGATGGAGATTATTCACAAGAGGTTTTTTTTGGGTTAGAGCACATAAATATATGTGTGTCGTTAAACCCGCCTTAAAAGGAAACCAACACACATATATACAGTCCTCTCGATTAATTCAAAATCGCATATAATCCATAAATATCCGTTTTCTGTGGATCTCTATGCCAAAAACCACGAATATATTATGTTTAAATTAAGAAAATTGAGTTGCTCAGTGATAACACTTTCCTGCTTTGGCGCAGAAGACTCGGCCCACTAAGTGGACAGCCGAGCCATGCCAATCAACATCAATCAAACTCCACCCACTGTTGTAAAAATATGCAACCACTGTACTGTAAAGACGATCGCTTGGATTTCGGGTTAACCGGAACAATATATTTTTTCTGTTTAAGCACGTGACTTTTAATACAAATTTCCAAGAATAACAATGAATAACTGGTTAATCCGCAAATCGGATAAACCACATGCGGATAATCGAGAGTCTACTGTAATTGTAAATGTTGTTGTGGGTAACTAATTGGCACGTTTTGTTTAGGTGACAAACCTTACTAATTGGCTGTGTTGGGTGGTGGTGGCAGGATAAACGACACACATTTATATTTACGCGTTCTAACCCCAAAAAAAAATCCTGTATTATGGATAAGATCTTTTCAACCAATTATTGACAAGTTGCGTTTATTATTGTGCACGTGGGAAGAGCAAACCGGAGTACTTGGAGAAAACCGACGCTTTGTGCAAAGGGGGGGACTGCTCTATTCCCCCACATCCAGATGGCATTAAACGGATGGAAATTATCCATTAAGTTTTTTTGGGTTATATCGTGTAAATATAAATGTTGTTAAACCCACCACCACCCGACACAGCCAATTAGTAAGGTTTGTCACATAAACAAAACGTGCAAATTAGTTACTAGTTCAGCACTAACTGGTGTTTTTATTAACCAGTTAAACGGTGTTGTGATTAACAGATTAACAAATTAATCTCAACATCAACCCATGCGTGAGTGCACGTCACCGTGTGTTCATCGTGCATGTCATCGCAATCGCCGAGTGCTATCGAGGGTTGGCGGCAGCAGTAAACAGGAGAAACTCACGCGACGTAGTCCGGCACCACCAGAGGCTTGGGGATGTGCCCCGATGGGATGTGACCATTCCGGATCTCAGGCCTCCGTTTGGGAGCTGGGCTGTGGTCCAACTCCACAGCCCCACCCTGTGCAAGCGCACAGACCAAAGCATTTCCCCCAGTACATCACATCATCGTCACCAGCATCACCTGGGATCCCTCTAGGTCGAGCAGTCCATGGAATTTGCCTGCACGGTCATCATTGCTGCAGCAGTGGCTTTTGGCTCGGCCTTCGAACAAAGACGGTCGCCGCATCGCGCGCCGCTTTCAGGTGCGCTTCTATGGCCGTCTGGAGCGCTCTGCCTTTCGATATTCAGAAGCTAATGGGAGCTATGCAATTTTAAATCATCTAGATTGACAAACCAATTTCCTTTAGAACTGCTTCTTGTTGTGTTTAGTTTGTTGTCCTTCCCCCGCACCTCCGATTAGCACGGTTGGCTACGTACAATGTGAAAGAAGTTCAACATACCTACATAAATGACACCAATTTTCGATATATGCAGTTTCAGTAGAATTAACTTTGGATGTATTACAATTATTTTGTATGGTTAAGAAATAAATAAGTTAAAATAAATTCACAGAAATAAATGCTATCCATCTATAGTGCTGCATAAATAAGAATACAACTAGCTTTTTTGCCCATCCAAGGACGGGTGTATATTGCAGTAAATCTTAAATATTCAATAGAAAAATTGCTCAGCTCATGATTATTAATGAGAGGGGGGGTTGCCCCATGTGGAGTGACGTCACCCGCAAATGGTTATTGAGGAGGGATGCGACACGTGGAGTGACATCACCTCCTCATGGTTATTGTGGAGGGGTGCGGCATGTGGAGTCACGTCACCCGCTCATGATTATTAATGAGGGGAGGGGTGCGGAATGTGGAGTGCGCGACCTTCTTGTGCGTTAGTGTAAATTTCCAAGCGGACATGAATATTAATTAAGGGGGGGGGGGCTCTTTTGCAGTGACGTCATGCACAGATGTAGCACTGTGCTGCGTATGTTTATTTTTTACCGTCACTTTATGTAAAGAAACGTCATATTTGAAGCGACTTTGCGTAATAAATTATTGAATTAAACTCAACCTTCCTCTGCGTTAGTGTAAAAATCCACCCACTCATGAATATTAATGAGGGGGGTGGGCCTCATGTGGAGTGACGTCACGCGCGGGACGGACAGACATTTCTGGGTGATTATAGTAGGTTATTGGGGTTAGCACGTTGGCTAACCCCAGTGGAATAAGTCTGCCTGAAGGTGGGCCAACAACTCATCTGCAAGCGGCTGTGACATCACGGAGTTTAGCCCCTCGCCCCTCTACACCGACTCACCCCTCTCCCCACCCCGGATGACCCTGCCAGAGGCCAGAAGCTGTGGATGGCACAGCCTGATGGATTCGTCGGGAATTGTGTTGCTAACCGTGAGGTCCTGGAAACTTTTTTTTCGTGACAGCCTGGCATGGCGCACGAGGGGGGTTGGTCATGTGGCCAGCACCATGACCCGCCACCTTTGTCTTCCCAATGCTGATGTTTTTCTACACCACAACAACAGGGACTCATTAAGGCTGGGCCGACCGAGGCGAGGCCCAGGACCGGTTCAGATGTTCGTCAATGATGTTGGCCTCCAGCGAGAACCGAACCCGGTTCGCCGGGTTCAATAGCACAGCACGCTAACCACTGCGCCACCACTCCCCATACAAAAAGATCCCCCGTATATCCTTTAAGAGACTGTCGGGGCAAGTGCTGTTAGCGAGTAGCACCTATGAAGGCCGGCGACACACGAGGGGTGGGTGGCCAGTACGACGCCCGGCCACCTTTGTCTCCCGAGTAGCAATGTTTACCCATCGCATCAGGTACTCATTTTAGACTGAGTCGACATAAGGACCGGTTCAGATAATCGTCACCGGTGTTGGCCGTGAGCGGGAATCAAACTCGGGTCACCGGGTTCATAGCGCAGGGCGTGAATCGGTACACCACCGCTTCCCATACACACACTGATGGGCACACACATAGAAGCATACACGCACACAGACACAGATACACAGTGCGCCAATCACTACACTACAGCTACCCAAGGAGAGACACACGTAGACATACACAGGTACAAACATACACATGGACATAGACAACAACAACAACCGCCATTCACCACTAAGTGGCGGTGACGTCACCACGATGCATGTGCCAGGCTATGTGCACCCTGAGGCCACGTAAAGTGTCGAACGCCCGATGGCAGGAGGTCACGGGGCAGACCCAGGTGCCACGGGTCGACTGACTGAGATGACTGGCTGATGCACCACTTGTGCCCCCTACTGTGCCAACCTGCTGTGCTTTAGCCACCCAGCGCACCGCTCGTTGTTGTGAGCGTCGCTCCTCCGCCCTCCGTTGTTGTTGGAGGGCGACTGCCTCCAATTGCCCAATAGCGTCCTTCACGAGCCTCCTCCACAGAGGCTGATCTTGACACCGCTGGTACCAGTCATTGGCAAGTCCACTCAGCTCCACGTCCTCCTGTACCACATCACTCCATCTCTTCTCTAGCCCGTGCCGCGCCCGTTTAGCCCCCTCAATCCGGCCGAACAAAAGCTGTTTCGGCATGCGGTGGCTGGGCATGCGGGCTACATGACCCAGCCATCGCAGCCTTGCCTGCCGGAGGAGCTTACCGATGGGACCTTACGAGGATCTTTCAAGGATTTGTGAGCTCCTCACACAATCCAGTCTGGTTAAACCCAGGATGGATCGTAGGCAGGCCAGCCTAAATGTTTCTAACCGGCGAAGATGTTCCATTAGGGGGGTCCACGTTTCGCAAGCGTAGAGAAGGGAGGGAATGACCGTGGCCGAGAAGACCTGAAGCTTAGTGCGGAGCGACAGACCAGGTAGCTTCCACACAGTGTTATGCAACCGATGAAAAGATATTGCCGCTCGACTGATTCGGAGTGAGACCTCTGCTGTTAAACTGGAGCTGGTCATAAGCACACTGCCCAGGTATGGGAAACTCTCCACTCGCTCCACAACTGCCCCATCACCGATTGGGAGTTGTGGGGGTGTAGTGTCCGATGGTACAAAATACCCAGGCAGGTGCTTAGTTTTGGTGGGGCTGATGGTAAGGCCCCACCTCTTAGTGGCACGCTCCAGTCTCAGCAGCAGCGTCTCCAACTCCTCCTCTGAATGAGCAGCTATTACCAAATCATCAGCATACATAAACGTGGTTGAGCAATAGGGAGCCATCCCTTGACCGCACCCGGGCATTGATCAGCCTCCCATTATATCTGTACCATATGGAGATTCCCCCGGTACAGCTATTGAAGGCTTCACGAACTACGTGGTCAAAATAGATGTTAAAAAATGTGGGAGCCAGAGGACATCCCTGTCACACCCCAAGGTGTACAGGGAATGGCTCTGACTCCCGACCACGTAGTTTAACCCGGGCCCGCTCACCATCATGAAGGTCCTTAATGATCGTGAGCAGAGGGTCAGCACGAAGAACAACCCAGAGCCCAGGCCTACTGATGCTATCATAGGCCTTGACCAGGTCAATAAAGCAGAGATGTAGGTCTTGTTGGAATTCCCTACACCTCTGCTGTAGCAGACGGACAGAAAATATGGCATCTGTGCAGGACCGCCCTTTCCTGAAACCGCATTGGGGCTCCGCAAGCCTCTCCTCAGCGTGCCTGGCAAGGCGATGCTGAATAATCCTTGCCAGGACCTTTCCCGGCACACTGAGGAGTGAAATGCCCCTGTAGTTGTTACAGTCTGTGCGGTCCCCCTTCTTAAAAAGGGGGACCAACTTCCAATCCTGCGGAACCCGTCCAGTGGTCCAGACTGTTGTTATGATGTCATATAGGCCAGTCTGTGCACAAATGCCACCCTCCCTCAGCATTTCGCTTGGGAGATCATCTCTGCCCGCTGCCTTTCCTGGTCTCAGACTCCGGATCGCCTTCAGTACTTCCTCAACAGATGGCACCTCAGCCAGCCACTCACAGGGGGTGACTTCTTCCAATATTTGAGGCACCGCAGCCTCAGCAGGGTCATCCTCACTTTGTGCCACGATTTTTTCCTGTCTTGAGGGATTTTCCCTCCCCCAGGACCTCACAGAAATGCTCAGCAAATCTGCAAACCTGTTCCTGGGGGTCAGAGATTGGATCACTGTTTTTTCCCCTAATGATGGTAATAGGTGTGGCGCTGCAGGTTACTTTTTTGATGGAGTTAAATAGAGATTTGTGATCACGGGCCACTGAGGCAGACTCCATCTCCTCAGCTACCCGCGACCACCACCCATCCTTGCAGCGCCTCACGGCTCCCCGAACCTCCGAGCGAATGCTGCGGTAAGCCTCCTCATTCTCTGACGTGGGATTCTGTAGCCGATGACAGTGGGCCTGTCGCTTTTTCTCAACCATCCTGAACACCTCCTCTGTCAGCCAGGGTCTCTGAGGAGGTCTGGACCGCGTACCCAAAGCAGCCATTGCAGCTGCATGAGTCACAGTCCTAAACCTCGCCCATTTACCCTCGACATCGGGAGGAGTCGGGGACGATGCCAATCCCAGCCGCAAGCGATGATGAAATTCTCGCTTGCAACTTTCATCCGATAACTGAGACCAGGCCACTTTAGGTTGGAATGGGGTCCTGGGTGTACACCCACCACCGGAGTGGAAGAATGGCAGGCGCATCTTACAGATGACTAGTCGATGGTCAGAGGGCAGATCAGCTCCACGGTAGGTCCTGGTGTCAAGGACATGGGCTCGCATCCGCTGGTCCGTCACTATGTAGTCCAGCAGATGTTCTTGCTTGGACCCGGCATGCATCCATGATGTTGTGTGGATCCACCGATGCCGGAACAGCGTGTTGGCAATTACAAGCCCATGGGCTGCACAAAAATCTAGCAGCCTGCTACCGTTGTTATTGAGCTGATCTGGACATAGACACACACATGAATACACCCATGGCAACCAACATAAAGACCAATGACAAAGTCATGGCCCTGTGACAACAAAGATCGCCTGTGTAGCCTTAGCAAAATATTGGGAGGAGTGCTGGCAGCGGATAGCACCTATGAAGGCTTGGCACAAGGCACGAGGTGGGTGGTCAGCATCACACCCCGCCGCCTTTGCCTCCCCCCACCCCATCCCGTGCCGGTGTTTACTACACCCCCTTCAATGTACGTATATACGTACATTTAACTTCTTTAGCACTGTACGTAACCAACTGTGAGGTGTGGGCAAAGGACAACAAACTAAACACAAAAAGTGGTTTTAAAGACCTTAGTTTGTCAATGTAGATGATTTGAAAGTGCATAATTCCAGTGGCTTTCTAATATTGGAAGAAAGAACGCTCCAGTCGGCCGCACAAGTGCACCGTGATGCGGTGACCGTCTTTATTCGATGGCTAGCCAAAAGCCACCGCTGCGAGGATAACTGGATTTCACGTAATGATGGTTTATGTTTCTTGCCGAGATCAGCAAGGTATTGTGGTTAATTTGTGGCAAACACTGTGTACAATGAGCGCGACCTCATATTGTATTCGTTCGGCAACCACAAGTCAATACAGCGCAGCGAACACTGGACGGACACGGTGTCGGATCTTGCAGTACCCGTCACAACACGTGCTAAAGAATGTTGTACATGCTGCAGCTTGGTAATATTTCTGGCAGCGCCGGGGGGGGGGGGGGAGAAGTTGAGTCACTGACGCCCACTCACCCTGTTGATGCGGTCGCTGCGATTGTCTGGCCGAGCGTCGTAGCTGTGCATCTGCGGAAGGCAGCAAGGGAGACACATAACACAGGATCCCCCATATAACCTTTAGACTGATGGGGCAAATGTTGTTAGCGAGTAGAACCTATGAAGGCCAGCACGGCACACGCGGAGGTGGATTGGCCAGCACCATGCCCGACTGCCTTTCTCTTCCAAGTGGCGATATTTAAACACCACACCAGGTACTAATTTTGAGGCTGAATCGACCTAGGAGAGGCATAATACTGGATTAGATAATCGTCACTGGGAATCTAACTTGGTTCGCCGGATTCAGTAGTGCTCACACCACCATGGCCCACACACATACATAGCCTGCCCCACTTAAATGCACAGCCTCTAACCACCAAGTACCAAGGCCTACACACAGCCTGTACCACTCACGTTCAAACACAACCTGTACCATACTCAAACACAGCCTGTACCACCAAGTACCAAGGCCTACACACACAACCTGTAACACACTCACACACTCAACTTGTGCCACACTCACGACCTGTAGCACCAAGTACCAAAGCCTACACACTCACACAAAGCCTCTAGCACAAATTATAAAGGCCTATACACACACACAACCTGTACCATACTCACGCGCACTCATACACAACCTGTACCGCACTTAAGCACACTCACATGAGCTCACATCATCATCGGCAATCACTTGGGTTCGAGTATGGATTGTCTTCTGTGGGTCCTGTTTGTGGATCTTCAGATGGCTTAAGAGGCCGATCCAACAGCCGCAGATTCTGCTGCAGTCTGGGCAAGGGTTACACGATGGTGGTGATGGACGATGGTTGGGCCTTCTTGGTGGTGAGCATCTCATGTTGTTGCCCCTGCCCTCTGCAGCCCATGTATACAGTAGGGTGGGAAGAACTATGGCTTTCTAGACGAGGAGTTTAGAATTGACCTGGATATCACGATCTTCAAATACTGTTTTCCTCAGTCTGGCAAAGGCTCCACTGACACAGCTCAGGCGGTGGTGTATATTTGCGTCGATGTCGGCTTTGGAGGAGAGAAGGCTGACAAGGTAGGGAACGTGATCCACATTTTCGAGGGTGGTATATATTCCTGGGGCCGGTGTTGTCCTGCCACGTGGTGCTTAGGATATGCATATATTTATGTTTAGTGCCAGACCCAGGAGCTTATATGCCTTTGTGAAGGCATCCAGGATGCACTGCAGGTCTGCGTCCGAGTGGGCAGTGATGGCATTGCAATCTGAATACTGGAGCGCCATGATGGAAGTGATAGAGACTTTGCTCTTTGCCATGAATCTGTTGAGATTGAAGAGTCGGCTGTCTGTTCTGTCTAGGATTTGTACTCAGAGGCAGATTGTGGCTTGTGAGCTGGAAGATAGCAGCAATGAAGATTGCAAATAGGATGGGCACAATGATGCAGCCCTGTTCAACTCCAGTTTCCACCTTGAAGAGTTCCATTTGAGCACCACTTACTGAGCAATGTTGCCGACATGTCCCGCAGCAGTCGCAGTACCCTATTGAATTTGTCAGGGGGCAACCGATTTTTGACAGACTTAGCCAGAGGGCATGACGGTTCACAAGATTCAAAGGCTTTTGTAAGTTCTATAAAGATCGGAATTTCTCTTGCAGTTTATCATACAGTGGAAATCACACCTGCTGCACCTCTGGATGGGTGAAAGCCACATTGTGATTCTGGGAGGATTTCTTCAGACAGGGGGTAGGAGTCGGGTTTGCCAGTATGTGGGTAGAAGTATTTTCCCGGTGGTGGACAGAAGGGACATGCTTCTGTAGTTTACACAATATTCCCTGTTCACCTTTTTCAACGGTTTTACTTAACTTGACTCTTATGTTTGTCGTGGTCAAATCTTGTCATCAAAATTTAGTCTATTTCCTGTTGTCCAATCAAATCCAAATTTTGCACACGTACTCAGATCCGGTGGAAATACATGTCGGCATCAATTAACCTATAAATTCACTACTTTAAAGCAATTAACATTTTGTATGGACGCCTTATTATTTATATTTGTGTAGGCGAAAAACGCCGCGGTCCCTCAACTCTGGAATTGCCTCACCATAGAAGCAGGCACCACGTGTCTCAGGCACGCACTCTCCGTGTGAACGAGTTACGGAAGCAATTAATTAAAGTAAGCGTTGATGTGGGAGCAGGCGCCACATCATTAACGTACTTCTCGACAGTGAGTTCAACGAAGTTGTTCATAAAACCGTCTTTTTACTTTTTTAAGCAGTTTATTAAAGATGGTAACAATCAGTGGGTATCCCCGAGTTCTGTGTGGGATTTCCTACTTGTGCCAGATCTTCAAGAGCAGGGGCATGTATGTCGGTGGTGGAAGAGCTTTGACCTGCCTTCCTTTAAGATTTCCGCTGAAATCCCATCAGGACCAACGGCCTTGTTATTTATCATCTTCCCGATGGCATCTTGTACCTCCTACATGTTTGGTGGTTCTTCTATGTCCTCCTTTATGAGTCGCTAAGGGATTTGGTCGATGACCTCCATCTCACCGGGCAGTACTTCAGTTGAGGAGTTCTAAAGCAGTGTTCTCTCCACCAGGCATTTGATTGATACATCATCCTTCAGCAGCTTTTGTCTATCTTTTGAGCGAAGGGGGTTTAGGCCATGGTAACTGGGTCCGTATACTGCCAGCTGCTGGATCTCCAGGGCTTCTTTGCCTGTCCACCATTTTTTTTTAGTTCCCTCACCCGGCGTTGGACATCCGCCTTCGCTTCTGGCGTGAGCCTCACTTTTGGCCTTGCAGTTTGTGTCATTCTGCAGGTGCAAAAGGTTCTTCACTTTGTGTCGATGAGCTGTTCACATCACAACAATCATTGGCTCGGACAATGACAGTCAATGAGATGCCAGAGTTTGGAGTGGGGATGCATCCACGATGTTTTGAATTCGTTTTTCTGATAGAAGAGTGTGTTGGTGATGATGAGTTCACGTTCCGCACATTTGGTTCGATAAACTCCATTTGAGTCGGTATTGCCAACACCTTCCTTTCCAAACGTGCCTCTCCAAATGTTGTGGTCCTGGCTGACCCTGGCATTAAAATACCCAAGAATGATCGTGTCTTCCTGAGAGTTATGTCCAAGTTGGCATGGAAGGTCTCCCTTACCTCCTCATGTGGGTCCATGGTTGGGGCATAGGCACTCACATCTGTGGCCATTTGGTAGTTTGCAAGCTTCAGACGGATGGTCATGAGGCGTTCATCGATGCCCACAGGGATTTCATAGAGGTTCTTAATGGCAAAACCAACTCCATGGTTTCCTGGGCCCATCAGCTGGTTGAACCTTTCCAGAAGAAGGTGTAGCTGCCTTTCTCCTCCTTCAGTTTCCCTTCATCTGCCGGTTGGGTTGCGGAGAGCGCAGCAAGGCCAATCCAAAATCTTCTCAGTTCTCTTGCTATGATCGCAGTTCTTCTATCAGGTCGACTACTGGTTGCACTGTACATTAGGGTTTGCACGTTCCAGGCTCCACATTAAATGTTTCTTTGTTTCTGACCGTAAAGAGGTGATCCCACTGGATGCGGTAAACTAGTTGCGAGTTATGAGGCAGGCTATTTTAGGGCACCTTTTCCAGCTCCTTCCCCTTTTCGGGTGAGCAGAGCGGATCTAAAAAGGGCTGCTCAGTAATGGGTGCAGCTGCTGAAAAGCTCTATGTGCCTCTGTCCACGAGCAAGACGACCAAATTAAACACCCACCACCTGGACTGCCAGTTTCTGGCTAGGAGCTGCCAGACTATCGCTATCCTGCTCCCGCCACCATTCGCTGAATGCCACAGGGCTTGAAATCTGGGATGTGCAAGAGTTTGTTTCCTTTCAAGAGGATGCTTGCGCATGACATCTTAACTTGGGGAGACCGATGCACAGGCAGCCACCACCACACAGTCCTTGACAGAGGGATCGGGGTCCAATGGCATGGAGGCTACGACAATTGGCGACCTCTCTCTACTGCAACCTTCCTCCGCCTTCACAATACTTGCCGTCATCTTCTGCCTGCTCCGCCGTTGAGGTCTTTGTTGGAACATGCTTTGTTTGGAAGCCTCCCCACTTGACCTTACCACCATGGGTGACCCTGCCAGGAATTTAGGCCCACATGAGTGGCTAAGCTGCAGACGGCACCACTCTTGGGATCTCAGGAACACACAAGCTTCTCCACCACGGCAAGGCGGCGATCCTCACACACACAAACACACATGCTCACCTCCGAATCCTCCACGCCCGCCCGCTCCCGCCTCTTGCGAGCGTTCTCGTGTCGCCACATCTTGAGCCCGACGGCCGTGCTCGCCAGGTAGGCGATGGTGTTGCAGAACAGGAAGATGGTGGCCCCAACCTGTCCGCCCTCCTGCCTGCAGAACACCCCGCTCAACGGGTTGTTGTACGACTGGAAGGAGCACAACCCGCCCCGGTTCAGGTCGTTCACGTACACAATTGCAGCCGACAGGTACAGCAGGAACAGCGCCCCGTTAATTGCCGCCTCTGTCACCGGCCACCAGTCCGCGTCGAGCAGGACGGCCCGATAGTACATGGTCATGCCCACGCCCAGCAGGATGACGGTCACCAGCCAGGCCAGGCCGGCCACCACCAGCACGAAAGGCGTCTTCGGGCCGTCGTAGTTGTAGTTGCCGTAGTAGGAGCCCGCCCCGCCGGCGATGCCGAGCGAGCCCGAGGGGCGCCCGTAGCCGTAGAAGTTGTACCACTCATTGTCCTTGTAGATGTAGGCGCAGACGCAGGCGAACACAATGGCGCCCAGCAGCAGCTGCACTGCCCCCAGCAGGCGCAGGAGGCCCGGCCACGACTTCATGTAGGAGTAGCGCACGCGGTACTCCTCCTCGCGCTGGCTGTACGTCTGGAACGTGCTCGTGGGGATCGCGGACAGCGAGGGCCCCTCCCAGATGCCGTCGTAGCGGGCGCCGTCGGGCAGCAGCCCTTCTTTCTCCCGCCGGGTGCCGTAGCTGAACCCAGAGGCCTTCCCGCTGCTGCTGCTGGCGCCGCCAATGCCGACGCCGTCGACCCCGCCGCCGCTGGCACCGCCGACGCGCCACCTGTCGTCGTCGGCCATGTCGCCGCCACCGCCAACACGTTTGCTGGGGTAGTAGTCGGAGGAGGAAGCGAGCACTGGCGCCAGCGACCTCGAACCATCGTCAGTGGCGGCATCGTCATCGTGGTGACCCCGATTGCCCTGCGAGCGACCGCGCCGGCTGAAGAACGTTTTGACCGAGTCGGGGATGAAGCGGTGAACCGGTTTGATGTCGGGCAGTGATGGCGCTGGCGCCGGCTCGGAGGAGCAGCTGAAGACGTCGCCCACGGGCGGCTGCAGAGGCAGTGGAGGTGGAGGCAGAGGGTCGGCGCTGGTGGCGATATCCAAGTAGCGGAAGTCGGAGATGGCGCGCGGGGGAGACGGTGGGGGAGACGGTGCCGTGCGGAGGTTGTTTCGCACGGTGTCCGGGGGAGGGGCGCGGGATGGCATGGCTGCGGTAGCGCGGGGATTCCGGGTGTGCGTGTACGTGTGTGTGTGTACGTATTTTGTGCTCGTGAAGAGCACTTGCTCCTACAGTCTGTTTAGACTATACGGAGGATCTTTGTTTTTGTACGTGTGTGTGTGTGGGGAGCAGTCGTGCAACGGTTAGTGCTACGCTGTGGTGCTACGAACCCAGCAACCTGAGTTCGGTCCCACTCACAGCCACCAACACCAGTGACGATTATCCGAACTGGTCCTGGGCCTCCCTTAGGTCGGCTCGGCCTCAAATGAGTACCTGGTGCGGTGTGTAAACGTCACCACTTGGGAGACAAAGGCAGCCGGGCGTGGTGTTGGCCACCCACCCACTCGTGTGCAACTGTGCCGGCCTTAAAAAAGGTGCTGCTACTCGCTACAGCACTTGCCTCGACAGACTGCTAGGGTTACGCAAGGGGGATCTTTGTCTTTGCTGTGTCTAACCTCGTCCTCTTGACTTCACCACTCATATGCCGGTACCCGCGTTTCACTTTGTGTCCCTGTTGTCTGTCACCACTGAACTGTGTCTGTCACCACCTATGTACTGTTTGCATCCCGTCTGTCTGAGGAGTCTCAGGGCATGGGACCGACGGCTTTCACTGATGGCAGCGTGCTCCTCCAAGCGGCATCATCTGCAGCAGGGATGCAGCTCCCACAGAACCTGGGTAGAGGGTCGGGGTCAGGAAGATAAAAGGTGCAGCCTTGCGATTGCTTGCGCACACCACCACTGGTAGCACTGCCTCCACTTATCAAGGGTTCTGGATAACAATCAGATCCTACGACTTCTGCAGGCGTTCTGATAAAACTGCAGTACTCTCTCGATTATTCGCGCTAATGACGGGGAGGACAGGCCGCAGATCATTCAAAATCACGGATAATCCAAAAATATTCATTTTCCACGGATCTCTATGCAAAAAAATCACTAATATAGGTATAGATTATGTTCAAGTTAAGAAAATGTAGTTTGTTAATGAACAAAACAAAAATTTGCAGGAAAGAATTGACCGTTCGATGTGCGTGCTCAGCAGTAACACTTTCCTGCTCCCGCTCAGAAGACTCGGCCCACTAAGTGGACAGCAGAGCCACGCCAATAAACATCAAACTCCACCCACTTTTAAAGAGATGCAACTACTGTACTGTTGAGGCAATCGCATGGATTTCGGATTAACCAAAGGAATATATTTTTTAGTTTTAAGCACTTGACTTGTAATAAACATTTCCAAGAATAACAATGTATCACTTTTTTTTTATTAATGTGGACTTAAGGTAAAATCCATGAGCTATTAATTTATGTCAAAATCTCAGGAGCGTGGTTAATCTGCAAATTGGATAAGCCGCACTCAGATAATCAAGTCCACTGTAGTTTAGTTTATTATCACCACAACACGACAGCCGCCGTTTACCATTAAATGGCAGTGATCTTACCATGGCGCTTGTGCCATGCCAAGTGCACTTTGAGGCCATCTGAAGTGTGGAAGGCTCGCTGACAGGATGTTATGGGACAGACCCAGGCCCCATGGGTTGACTGACTGGGCTGACTCTCACCACAATCACCAGATCACATCACCATATGCGTGCCCCGTCATTCCCCACTCACAATGGAAAGTTACCCGGCTGTTGGCCATGCCCTGGCTCTCGTACGGCTCAAGAGGAGGTGGAACAACAACAAACGCCGCATGAGTGCAGAGATGGAGAGAAGGGTCATGTGACTCATGAGAGCTTGCCCTTGAGAGGGCAGAAAATATAAATAATGCTGTACATTTGAACGTATTGTCAGTACACCGGTGGTGCACAGTATATATATTTTAATGTGCAATAATTATTTATTTTTCCTGCGATTTGCAAACCCCGGTCAGAAAATCCTTGCGGGGATGGTGATGCCTCAAAATCAGTTTCTTGTGATGTCGAGGCAGTCTGAAGACGGAACACGAAGCTTCAGTCAGTCTGTTGACATATAGCAGCACCCAGCTGTGATGACGATTGGCTGGTTCTGTGTTCCAAAGATTTGGACTCGTGCCATAGACTTGAATCCTCGATTCAAAGGGACCCAAATAAATGGTCAATATTGACCCCTTTTTTTTGCAAATATCAAGACTAAATAAACTTTCGAATCGTGTCAAATGTAGTGACAGGGTCAATTTTCTGTTCCAAAGTTAGATTTTAGAACTGTTTTAAGAGGGACCGGTGTGTTATGCTGCACTGGTGAAACGCCAATCGGTTAATTTGGTATTGGCGCAATCATTCTAACATGTGAAAATTATTATAATTGTGTTGTGAAATGTCCTTCCCATGGGCTCGTCAAGAGGCAGTACAACAAGTAGGACCAATAGCCGTCCGTTTACAACTGTATTGGGATAAAGCATTGCCCCCTTACACAATACATTTTCCTCTCCAGCTGCTCCAGCATTCTCCTCCCATGCAGCATAATAAATGCCACTCATCGTTAACAAGTGCTTGCTACAAATGAACCACTACACCTTGCTGATCTCGTCAATTAAACAAAAAGCGTCACTCCGTTCATCCTCGCAACGGTGTTAACCGCATCGCGCGCTTTCAGATGTGCTCTTGCGGCCGTCTGGAATGCTCTTCCTTTCGATATTAGGAAGCCACTGGGATCTATGCGCTTTTAAATCACCTAGATTGAAAACTCACTTCTTTGCAACTGCTTTTGTGTGTTTAGTTTGTAGTTCTTCCCCCGAACACTAGACATAGCATACAATATAAAGTCGTCAACTGTAGGTTCCTCCTTGACATTATCCTTCTACAAGCCATCACTCTGCTGTGCTACACCACTCAGATAACATGCGCCTCTACAACCATCACTCACTCTGTTGTGGTACACCACCCAGCTAACATCCCTCTACAAGCTAACAGGAGCACAGTAATTGCCTAGTTTCCGTTGGGAATGTGTTCCTGAAATGTGCGACGATGAATATCAAAACGACGCCAATGAAAGCAATTTGTTCACGAGAGCAAATCAAAGATAATGGAGGGTACGGTGAAGCAGTCTGTTAATGTGTGCAATCTTCACCCTAGACGTACTCGCAACGTTACATCATAGTACTAAAATCACTGCACTGAACACTAGTGTACCAGCAGTAAACTTAAACACAAATTATACAGGGTACAATAATCTACACTACACGATGAAATAAAAACCCACCAAAATACCGCACTAAAACATATATTGTACTCTGCAGTACGGTACATCTTCTTTATGCGCGATGCAAAGTGGTTCGTATACCAGGGGAGGTGGTGGTGGTGGCGGCGAAGGGGCTGAGAGGTGACGGATAACGAGGAAGGGATGGGACGATGCCGTCAGCGACGTGAGCGCACGCGGCGTGGTTGAGGCGACGCTGGTCGAGATCGTGGTGTTATACTAACAATCATAAGGCAAAGGCGGATTAAAATTCTCGAGGCGTGCAGTCACGTGGCTTTTCATCACCTGTCATGGAGCAGCCTGTTCCACCGCCTCACTACCCTCATTCCTTCCTCCACTTCCCAGTGACAGTATAATTTTTTAAAGTTATGTTTCCAAGTAAGGCCCACTGAGCTGCATCGCTCTTTTGGCAGAAGTGACCTGGCCATCACAAATGAAAGCTCAAGAAAGTGGCTGATATCATGTGGAAATTTCTAGCAGCAGCCAAACACTCTATACGCGTGACGCTGATTGTAAATATGGAGGGAAAACCCGGAGGACGCCGATACAAATTCACGCAACCACGGGGAGAACATGCACACTCCAAATATACAGCAGGGGTCGGGATCGAACCAATAAGCTCCTACATACCGGGCGAGCCAGTTAACATCTCGCCACCGCGATCTCTCCAGTAGCGGCACGGGGTAAGAACGTTACAACAAACAGTAGTGCAGAGTACAGGAAGGGCACACAATTCACCCAAAAACAAACGAATACAACGAAACCCTCTCCATTCTACCAGGCAAAGCCCACTGAGGTGTTAACTTATTTTTCACCCACCAGTCCCGTTTGCAGAGCCGTTTCGCGCTCTGTGGGCTGTCTGTCGTGCAAACTGCGCGTCCATTCTCTCCTCTGCATTCGTGCAAAGGACAAGCTGATGGATCACGACGTCGCAACAAACGTGTGCTTCAAAATTGTCCGCGAGTTTATCTCCCGTCCAAATTGACCCGGGGCAACATTCTGTCAGAAGGTGCGTCATTCATTCCATCATCTCCGCTCAAATGCGGCTTAAGAAGAGTAACTCTGAATCGGTAGAATATTCATCTTGTTATTGCCTTTAGTTTACTGTCTTTCCCCCACACCTCCGACTGGCACGGTTGGCTACGAACGGTGCAATAGAAGTTCAACATACGGTGCAATAGAAGTTCAACATACGGTGCAATAGAAGTTCAACATACGGTGCAATAGAAGTTCAACATACGGTGCAATAGAAGTTAAACATACGCTACCCACTACACTATGCACTACTATACTCAATTTTAACTAATTGATTTCCAACTGCTTTTTTGTGTTAAGTGTTTTCCTTACCCCCGCACCTCTGATTAGCAAGGTTGGCTACGTACGGTGCAAAATATGTTCAACATACATCCACTACATTCTACACTAATACTACAATATACACTACCCTACCCACTACACTACCCACTACACTATACACTAATACTTTACTATACACTAATACTACACTACCCACTACACTATATACTAATTCTTTACTATACACTACGCTATATTCTTGGTTCTTTCGGCAAAGTCACGTAGAAGGGAAACAATAAACTAAAAAAATAAAATTCTCACGACGTTTCGACTGCAACACAAGCAATCATCATCAGGTGTGAAAACCACAGCAAGAAAATTTGAATATGAATCCCTGCAGTCACGAAAGCTTTAAATCAAAATTTATACACTACGCTACCCACGATACTATACACTAATACTTTACACGACACTACCCACTACACTATACCCTACACTATAGACTAATTCTTTACTATACACTACGCTACTCACGACATTATACACGACGCTACCCACTACACTATACACTAATACTACACTATACACGACTCTACTCACTACATTAAACACTACGCTACCCACTGCCCTATATGATACACTAATACTACACTATATGATACACTAATACCACACTACCCACTACACTATACACTAATACTACACTATACACTACGCTACCCACTACACTATACACTAATACTACACTATACACTACGCTACCCACTACACTACACAAAACACTACACACATGTTTACGTTTCTCGAGGCGCACCA